AGCTCAAGCTTAGATTAGGTTTAGTCAAACCCTACTTTAGGGTTTAGCTAAACCTGAATGTTAAACCCTGAATTAGGGTTTAGTTAAACCGTAGCTAGACCCTAAGTTAAGGTTTTGTTAAGCCCTAAATGAGGGTTTATTTAAACCGTAGCTAAACCCTACCTAAATTTGGGTTTAGTTCAACCCTAAATTAGGGTTTAGTTAAACCCTTAATTAGGGTTTAGTTAAACCCTAAATTAGGGCTTAGTTAAACCCTAAATTAGGGCTTAGTGAAACCCTCATTTAAGGTTTAGTTAAACCCTAAATTAGGGTTTAGTTAAACCCTGAATTAGGGTTTAGTTAAACCCTAGATTAGGGTTTAGTGAAGCCCTAATTGAAGATTTAGTTAAACCCTAAATTAGGGTTTAGTTAAACCTTAAACTAAGAGGTTTAGTTAAACCCTAAATTAGGGTTTAGTTAAACCCTAAATTAGGGTTTAGTTAAACGCTAAATTAGGATTTAGTTAAACCCTAAATTAGGGTTTAGTTAAACCCGAAATTAGGCTTTAGTTCAGTAAACCCAGGTTCAGGGTTTAGCTAAACCCTAATTTAGGGTTTCACTAAACCTTAAATTAGGGTTTAGTCAAACCCTAGATTCGAGTTTAGTTAAACCTTAAATTAGGCTTAAGTTGAACCATAAATTAGGGTTTAGTTAAACCCTAAATTAGGGTTTAATTCAGTAAACCCAGGTTCAGGGTTCAGTTAAACCTTAAATTAGGCTTCAGTTAAACCCTTAATTAGGGTTTAGTTGAACCCTGAATTAGGCTTTAGCTAAACCATAACCCTAAATTAGGGTTTAGTGAAGCCCTAAATTAGGTTTTAGTGAAACCCTAAATTAGGGTTCAGTTAAACCCTAAATTAGGGTTTAATTAAACCCTAAATTAGGGTTTACTTGAACCCGAAATTAGGGTTTCACTAAACCTTAAATTAAGGTTTAGTTAAACCCTAAATTAGGGTTTAGTTCAGTAAACCCAGGTTCAGGGTTTAGCTTGTATCACCGCTGACGTTAAGTGTTTGTGCTGCTGCTCAAGCCTCGATGTGGCAGCAGGTTGCATTAGCGATTTCAGAGGTCCTGCGATCTCCCAGGCTTTGCAGCAATCAGGATCCCGTGCTCCTCTGCTTCTCGTGTTTTTCCTTGGGCATCTTCATCGGATTCAGTCTTGGGGCCGTTGTGCTCTCGCCGTCTCTGCAAACTTTGTTGGGAAGAGTGGCCCGACTGCTTGCTGAAGCTTTGCTTGCAAGGGAGAGAGATCCTGAGCGTCCCGTCCGTCGAGAGGCGGAAGTTCTGCAGTTTAGACGCTTTTTCTTCCAGACGAAAGTTGAGCCATTTGTATGATTGGCTTGGTGCGGGGTGTCTGCAGTGTCGGATTTCTCGCGCTTGCTTTCTTTCTGGCAGAAGCGCATCAAGAGAAAGATGGACTCCGACTTCCTCTCCCCGACCGAAGGGGATGTTGCAGCCGAGGGTCTGGTGAACGAAGCGAGGCATGTGGGGGACGGACCTTCCCCTGCCTTCTTTCTGGATCTCGGGCAAGTGTTGGCAGAGGTTGTGGTAGTTACTTCCGAGTTCAGGCCACAAGGCTGCTCAGAGGCCATGACACTGTTGGCTTTGCCGGTGCGGGCTTTGGGGCGAAGGAAAGGCACTCAAACAGGCCCTCTTTTGCACCGTGCAGCTTTGACAGTTCCAGTGATGGGGCCTCTCGACACACTGGATGCTGGGCTGAAGGTCGACATTGGGGTTTTCACTTCCGCAGTGCTAGACAGCCTTTTGGGCGAGGACGAGCTTCAGGAGATGGGAGTAGATGTGGACTTCCGATTCCTGGATGGAGCAGAGAATCATGTGGCGCTGTTGGGGGCACCTCTTGTCGAGGCAGCCTCAGCTGTAGCTGTGGATTGGTGGATGGCAAGGCTGCAGACAGCGAAGGCAAAGGCCGCTTCTTCCAAGCCTGTGGTGACAACGAGGCCGTCTGCTCTGACGACAAGGCCGAAGGCTTCGGTTGCCACGCCAGCTTTCGACAAGAGCAACTTGGTCGCGTCAGGGATCGACCCAGACTCTGCGGAGGCGATCTTGGCAGCACTTGGAACTGCTGGGGCTGCGCGCCAGGCCCGGCACGCTGGCTCTCACGGTGGTTCTGCTCCCTCAGGCCCTACTTTGCCAGTTCCGGCCGCCTTAGACGACGGCTTGGGGAACGAAGTGGAAGAGCCAGTAGTGGAAGAGGAGAGTCAAGAGCGGGGCTTGGCAGATGCCCTCCTCAAACTTACTGCTGTCCTTTCAGAGTTACACCCTGCAAAGAAGCCTTCTGGTCTCGAAGCAGTGTTGGGCAACTTGGCGGTCACAGCAAGCTCTTCGGACTCCACTGGCGTGTCTGCAGCAGGGCCCTCACGGAAGAACGCTCAGGCTCGCCTTGCGCTGAGGACAGCTCTGCGCGACCAGCCTCTGCACTTTGCGGCGCATGTCGAGGCCGAGGTGACTCGCAAAGTGGGAGAGATCGTGCGAGCGATTTCTGTAGCTGGATCCGCAACGGCGGTCCCTTACCGGACTTACGTGGAGCACAGAGCTTTTGTGTCAGGCCACCGCCCCACTCAACAATGGTTGTGGATCCTCTCAGGAATTGGAGAGGCGCTGACTGCTGGCAGGCTGGCCAGGGCGAGAGTAGCACTTGGCATGGTGTACGGAGAGCAAGTTTGTCTGGACGGAGGCCATTCTGCAATGGCTGGAGAGCTTTTGTTCGAAGATGCACCTCCTTCATTACACCCTCGCTTGCCAGATCAAGGTGGAGTTCTTTGGCCTGCTGTCGCTTCAGACGTTTGGGGCGAAGTCGTGCTGGGCCATCTCAAGGACAGGATCGCGTGGGAGCAACATCGGGCGACGGCCTTGGGAAGACGGCGACAGCCACCTCTGGTCCCACCCGCAGTTGCGCCTCCAGACGAGGGCGAACCCAACTTGCCGAATGCAAAGCGGCGACAACGCCCAAAAGCCAAGGCAAAAACCACACCTTTGCAGTGAGGTCCAAGCAAGTTGGCAGAGCACTTGCCACTGGAGGCCGACAATTTGATGCGACTCTTGGTTTCCCTGGTGAAGGTTTTGAGGCCCGCTGGAATCAGAGGTATGGAATGCATTGCGAGAAGCTTCTGCAGACCCCTGCTGTTCTGAGTAAGTACTTGTACAGTTTAGCACATACCAGTGGAGCCAAGCTAACTTCCTTTCTTAGGGATGCTGCTCATGTTGTACGTGAGCAAGGTCCTGGTTTTCCTGACAGCTGCGCTACATTCACCCCAGATGGTGGATCCCCAGTAATCGAGTATCTTCCTGTGCCTTACCCCGAGGTTTACAGAGCCAGGCGGAAAGACCATGCTTCGAACAAACGTCTTGCAAACTTGACGGTGCTAGTTTTAAACTGGCTGAGTGCAGGTTCCCCGTCCAAGGTTCCAAAATCTTGGAAGCTTGCTGGCGCAGCCACGGCTGATCAAAGCCGCAGACTTGAATATGTTTTGGCTGTGACGCAGGCTTGGCATGATGAAGAGGCTCGGAGTGCTGAAGAACTTGGCAGGGCCGAAGACAAGTTTAGAGCCTCCTCAGGCGTGCTGGCAAAACTTGAAGCTCTGTCTTCTGAATTCAAAGTGCAATTTTCAAAGTATTCCGATTTTAAGCTTCCAGTGAGCACCCCGCTTGCTAAAAGACTTGTAAGGGACCCTCTTACCGTCAAGGTTGGGCAGTTTTCCACGCCAGTCGAGGGAGCCAGGCCTGTTGTAGCTTCTAGGCTTAAGGTTAGCGGGCCCCCTTCTTTTGAAGCCGATAGAATCTTGACGGGATTGCACAGACATGTCATGAGGGATCCGACTTTTGCTCGGGGCCAGCCTCCCTACGAAAGTTGTCCCAACGTGGAGGTGAAGGCTTCGCAGTCTGAACTTGTAAAGTTGCTTGAGAAGTTTGATGCCAGCGGAAGATTGTCTCTTTCGAGGGCCGATGATGCAGAGCTGCCTCCTTGGGATGAGCGGGTCGGCCTTTTCAGTGTCTATAAAGAGTCTGACCTGGATCGGCTCATTGTTGATGCTAGACCTTGTAACCGCTGTGACCAGCCTTTGTGCCAGTGGGTCCAGAATTTAGGCCACCCTGCTTGTCTCAATGACCTTTACTTGGCTGATGACGAAGTGCTGGCCATTTACAGCTCGGACATCGTGGATTTTTACAACCGTTTTGTTGTGACCGGGAACAGAGCAAGCAGGAACACGTTGAAGAAGACTTTGAAGGCTTCTTGTTTGAAACATCTGCAAGCTTGCCCACCTGTCCCTGGCAACACAGACCTTGCGATCAGTTTAAGAATTTTGGCTATGGGTGATCTGCAGGCTGTGGAGCTAGCCCAGGCTGCCCATTGCCTGATTTGCGCTTCTGTAGGAAGCATCACAGATCGATCCTTGATTTCCCGACTGCGCCCCTTTCCCAGGTCCCACTTTGTTTCGGGCTTGTGCATTGATGACTTTGGAGCTTTTGAAGTTGAAAAGGGGTGCAGGGACTTCAATGGTCAACTCTGTTTGGAACAGCAACCGACCAGTCATTCTGTAGGAAGCAAGTGTTTAGAGTCCTTAAAACGTGCTTACCGTGCTGTTGGTCTTGAGTCCCATCCGAAGAAGGAGGTTCGAAGGGCTTCTCGAGCTGTTGTGTGGGGAAGCGAGACTGACGGCATAGCAGGCACCCATGCTGTACCTCGGGCAAAACTTGTTGCCTTGGTAAGTCTCACCACTGCGTGTGTTGATCTCGGCCGAATCAGCGTTTCACTGCTTGAAAGCTTAGTGGGTATGTGGGGTGCTGTTATTCTTCATCAGAGGCGTTGTTTTTGTTTGTTGGATTTGTGTTACGAGGCAGTGAAACGTTTTGAGCGGACGGATGTGATTCAGATGAGTAGAAGGCTGAAACAGGAACTGCTTTCACTGTGCATTTTGGCTCCGTTCATGTTTGGGGATATGCGGGCTGGTTTTGTTGGTGAGATTCAGATGGTTGACGCTAGTTTGCAAAAAATTGCTGTGGTGAAAGCTGCCGTTCCTGCCCATGTAGTTAGAGAGCTGAGCAGGCACACTCTCAAGAAGGGACGTTGGTCAAGGCTTTTGTCTCCGGCCCAAAATTGGATGAAGGAGAAGGGTTTGTTAGGTGAGGATGAGGAACTTCCGAGCGGAGAAGTTTTGGAGGAAGCTGTCACGCCGCTTTTTGAGAGTCTGGTGCCCTCCCTTACTTTTGAAACTGTTTACGTGAGCAACACTTTCAAAGGCGACCGCATAAACTTGTCCGAACTGAAAAGCATAGCTGCCGCAGAACGGGGTTGTGCAAATCAAAACCCCAAGACCAGGCCCCTTATTGGGGGAGACTCGCAAGTTGCTGTCGCAGCTGCAATGAAAGGCCACTCTTCGAGTAGGATTTTGAACGACCAGTTGAAGTGCATGCTGTTCGATGTCATTACTGGGCGTTTGTCCTCGAAGTTTTTCTGGATAGGTTCGAAGCTTAACCCTGCGGATGACCCCACAAGGGGAGTGGCTGTCAGAGCAGCAAGTGAAAAGCAACCAGCGTGGTTTTTGAATTTGCGTCACAATCCTTCAGACTTCAGCGCTCTGGACCGGTTGCTGTGTCACTTGTACGAACATGCTGATGGGCCTTCTGTTGAGGAACTTGTTCGTCAACATTGTTTAGAGCAGCCCGGAGTGTTGAAGTCGATTTTCGGCAAAGATTTTGAAGTTGACGCTGCCGGCACGCAGAAGCAGCATCGAGAAAGAGTGGCTGGCCGCTCGAAAGACTGTAACAGGGCCCCCAACTTAGGCAGTTCCAGGGCTAGTTCCCTGTGTGGTACTTGCTTTAGTTCGGTTGAGCCGTGTTGTGGTTTTGAAAGCAGGCCGGGAGCTCGCGGTTTTTCAAACAGCTGTCCTGAAGCGATGCCGCAGCAGTCCATGTTTCACAAGCTTGCGTGTGATTCGCAGCATCAGATGTCTGGAAGGGAGCAGCCTTTTTCAGACGACCCACGAACACTGCAAGCCTCTTGCAAGGTTCGCGTGCCTTTTTTGCAGAGCCCTGGGAAACAGCAGTTTTCCCAAGGTTCTTGCCAATCCTGGTTGTGCTCGCATCCAGTTCTAGCGTCAATTCCTCGTGGCCGTTTTTTAAAGCCAAAGGGGTCATTTAAGGATTGGAGTCCATGCTCTCCTGGCGTCATCTGCTTGTGGGGTGTCACTAGTAGTTTTTCTAGGGCAATGCTTGAGCGAGGGGCTCCTTGGGTCCTTATGTTTGGTGACAGCAGTGACACTCAGGACCTCTCTGTTGCAGATCGTCAGAATCTCGTTGAGTCCCTCATTTGTGAAGGTTCAGTTTGCGTGCTGGGTGCTTTTCCCCAGTGCTCTTCGTTTAGCAGCGCAGTTTCTCCGCCGGTAAGGAATTCAAAGTTTGTTGCCGGTGTGCCCCATGTTTCGCCGCAGATGCTTGTCAAGGTTAAGCGGGATAATCGGTTAAACACTTGGTGTGCGAAACTCCTCCGTAAGTGCTTGCTTCACAACGTGCGGTTTTGGGTCGGAAGCCCGAGCTCTTCTTTCTGGTGGCAACAGCGGTGTTTTCGTAAACTGCTTAGGCTTCCGGCCTGTAGTTCCCAAAGCGGAGCCCTTACCACCAGCACAGTGGATCTTTGTCGCGCCGGAGCCCCATGGCGCAAGAGGACCAAGATTTTTACGGATATGCCTAGGGTTCCGGGTAGTGTCTTGTGTCGCCGGGATCATAGCCACCAAGTTTTGAGAGGCTCCGGTCCCAGTGGTCTGCTGTGGACGCAGCTTGCTAGAGCTTGGCCTCCGTGTTTTGTTCAGTTCTTGGCTGACTTGGCAGCTGATGCGGCCGGTTTCACATCCCTTCGCTGCGGCTGGGATCCTGCAGTTTCTCTTTGCGCAAATATTGGCAGACCTGTCCGAGATGTTGTTGCCTTTTCCTCTCGTGGAGGCAACAGCTGTGAGCGTAAGTACGATCCGGTCACTTCGGATAGCAATCATCCTTTTGCGCACTTTGTTTTCTTCCGCTTGCTGTTTGCAAGCTTTGTCTTGGTGTCTCACAGCACGCGCCCACGTCTGCCGCATAGGGTAGAAGCTTTGCCTGAGACGCGCATCTCCTCTGCCACAGCTATGCGGGAGATGAAAGCTGTAGATACTTTTCAAACTTGGCTTGTGGGTCAGGGAATTCATACTTCACTTGCAGTTCTTTCCGAATTACCATCAGTTCTTGACCAACTTCTGAAGTCGTTTGGCCGTAGTTTGTATGACTCAGGAAGGCCGTACTCTGGTTTTGTGTATGCCATTACTGGACTTCAGAATTTTAATTTGCGGTTGAAACGCAATCTGCCTTATTCCTGGGATTTGGCATTTATCTGGCGCTCACTGGAGCCGGTTGTGCACCGTCGGCCTGTGGATGAAGTGTTGGTGTTAGCTATGGTTGGTGTCGGGGCTTCTTTTGGTTGGTTTCGGTTCTGCGGGGTGCTGTTGCTGATGTTTTTTGGGGCACTTCGGTCCATAGAGCCACTAGTTGCATTGCGCACGCATTTGGTGCTTCCGGAAGACACTTTGAGAGCAACCCCAACTCTTGTTTACCTAAAGATTGTTAGCCCCAAAACTGCTGGCCGTGGACTCGGCCGACAGCAGTATGCTTCAGTCGACCACAGCTTGGCAGCTCGTTGGATTGCTAGTATCTTCCGGGGATTGCATGCAGAAGAGCTCCTGTGGCCCGGGTCACCAGCTGTGTTCCGCCGAAGGTGGAATGCTGTCTGCAATGTTTTGTTGTTGCCGAAAGGATTTGTTACACCAGGCGGTGTCAGAGGCGGTGGTGCTTGCTATCTTCACCGGCAAGGTCTTAGCATCCCTGATGTTATGTGGCGGCTTCGGCTTGCCAACCAGGGTTCGCTGGGCCATTATCTTCAAGAGGTTGTCGCGGATTGTTCTCTGGCCCAACTCTCCGACCAAGCTAGACGCCGTATTGCAGTGTTTTCCAACTCGGTTTGGAATCTTTTAACCTGCTGCCATAAGTCCTGACGTGTCTGTTCGGACCCGAGCAGCACCCTTTCAAAGCCTGGGTTGCCTGAAGCTGAACCGGCCTTTCGAGGTTGCGCTGGCCTGAAATTGCTAGCCCGCTTTAATTGCAGGCCCTTTGCTGTGGGTGTGGAGTATGAGTAAGTGGCCATTTTTCTCTGGGGCTCTTTACTCAATCAGAGAAAGAGCTGCTGCAGCCATCCCTTTGTGCAGTTCGATGGCTGGGCTGAGCATGTGTCTTTTGCCAATTCTCACCTTTGAAGCAGCACAGGAAAACCAGGTAGGACGGTGATTTATCGTGTTCATCTTTTTTTCCATCATTTTCATCCTCATCCTTTTTCATCATTTTCATGTTTTTCAATTTTCATTATTTTTCATAACGTTTTATGACTTTTCTTCATCATTGTCTATCATTTTCATTGTTGCTCATTATGTTTCATCATTTTCTTCATGTTCATAGTTTCCATGACCTTCTATCATTTTTCACAATTTTCATCATTGTTCTGCATTTTTGGTCATTTTCTTTAAGTTGTTCTAGAATTTCCTGTCGCTTGTCATGTCTTTTCACAGTTTTCATTTTTTGTCTATCATTTTCCTAATGTTCATCATTTTCTTTTTTCTACCATTTTCATCATGTGTCTATCATTTTCATCATGTTTATACCATGTTCTACTATTTTTCATCACTTTGTATCATTCTCATAATTTTTATATCATTTTCATCATTTTCTCTAAGTTTCATGATTTTTCACGATTTCTCATCAGTCCTCACAGTTTTTGCATCAGAATCGCGCTCTCCTGTGAGGCGTCCTGCGATTCCGGCCCCCAACCCCAAAACAACACGTCACAAATAAAAAAGTACCCAAAAAACAATTCCAGCTTTTGTAAACACTGGATATCCCGGGAGCTGGGGCGAAGTAGCCCACTAACAGGCAGTTCCACCATTTCTGAACACCCAAGAGAAATTCAGAATCGTTGGTTGTGTTTTGGTGTTGGCGCGCAGTAGTATCTCACTGCTGTAGCAGTCGTGCGGGAAAGTACTTGACCTCGGAATGAAACCTTGGGCGCCAACCCTCAACCATTGGTGCAGACCAGGGGCCAATTTCTTGTGGGAGAAGAATTTGGACATGTGCGCGTGGGTTAGGGGCCTAGCCCCACCGGGCTTTGCAGCTCTGCAGAACCCGTAGCAGAAGACGAAGAAGAAAAAGAGAGGGAGAGACAAGCGCGGTGCCTGAGGGCACTGCATAGCCTGTGTTAGTAGAAGATGAAGCGAAATCACACCCCAAAGTTTCACGACGTGACCTGGAGCCACTACGAAGAAGGTGGCCTCAGGCCGGCGGAGGGGAACCTCCGTTATGTCCCTATAGTGAAAGCGAAACAGACAAGCGAACACTGTGTCTGTGGTGCATCTTCAAAAATGAGAAGGCCAAGTTGCAGGCCTGTCCAGATCCGTGAGCATTGTTTTGCTTCGGATGAGCCGGGCCGAACTTTGGGAACCTATGCCGCACCCTCGGAGATCTGAAGCCCGTACATCTACTCGTAGGCCCTCGCACATCAAAGTGGTCTACAAGCGGTAGCTGGGTTCAGGTGAATACCTTGAGCTTTAACTTGGCACCGCAAACATTGCAGGCCTGTGGGACGAGTTGCATGGTTGGAACCCAGTCTTGGTACTCCTTTTGTGGGACCGCAGCCTTTGCTCAAGTCTTGCCTAGTCTTGCCTAGCAGCTCAGCAGATGTGATGACGATAATCCATGAAATTGTGTTCTGCGCGTACCCGCATGCATTTGTGGGTTTGCAGCAGTAGCAGCGGTTTCGCCCCAAAATCAGGTAGTTTCCAGCACGAAATTAGGTTCTGCTGGGAAAACGTTTAAGCTTTATGTGGCGGTGGCTGGTGCTGCTGGGCTTTCTTCCGCATTCCCTGGCGGCATTGCAGCGCCTAGCAACTTGACCAAAAAGGGGATGGTAGCTCAACTTACCTGCACTCTTCTTGCGTCTTTGCATCTGTGTTCTACAAAGGTCCTAGTGTCGCGGCATGGAGAGCGGCAGCGTCTGTGGAAAGACCAGCTCACTCATTCAGAGGCCAAGGTGCCCTGCTTTGGTACGCCCAGGCAACATTCGTCTCATTTTATTTTGTTTCTCTCAGGCTGGTGAGGGCGGGCCTCAACTTACAGCAAAGGGCGCCAAGGCTTCGATCCCGATGGGATGGTCGAACTGTTGAAATCGTGTCACTCGGTCGTTGCCTCTTGCCGCAAGGAGCTCCTTGATGTTGGCCGATCTTTGCGACTACGCCGCTCAAATCTGCATGAAAGAAAGACGCATGGTAGAGAGAAGCCACACAACCAACTTGACTGTCAGAGCAATTTTTGTTCGAGGCTATATGCGTCCGGACTGCTCCCCGGATCGTTGTTTGGAAGGACAGCCCAGAACTTGGAAGTGTCACGTCGACGATGTTTTCTGGAGGCAGCATCGGCAGTGGTGTCTATGTTCCCACAGAGGCACGGTGGGTTGGCAATGCCTTTGGCACAGAAACCTCCCAGACAGGTCCGTGCCGAAAGCAGCGGCTTAGCACGAACCTTGGGTTCTGCCTATGCGCTGCATGAAGGTGACTTGGTGGGAGGAATGTGGGATGAGCATCTCATGCAATGCTTTGGGAGACCAGACGCATCTAAGGGTTTCTTCCTCAGGGCTCAGTCCCAAGTGGCTCAGCTGCATGCAGAGAACCACTAGCAGCAGCACAGTATGTAAAGTTAGCAGGCATGCGTGCTAGGAAACGGTGCTTGTTTAGAGAGTTCCAGAGGGAAATCACATTGTTTGGCCAGGCGGCACTGTGGTGGACCCTGTGGTGGTGCCCATTCCCGTGTACAGCCGTCCTAAAAGTGAGGACTTCATCCTGCGTAGCTACACGATGTGCCCGTCTCAAGAGCGGAGCCTTGAAGCTTGGTATTCTAGTGCGCAGTTCAAGGCGAAAGAAGAGGAGACAGTAGATTTCCGCAGCCGGGTTTCGACAGCTCTGGGGCATGAGAACGTCACGGATGATGATGGCACCGGCGCCCCCTTGGCCAATTGGTGGAACACCTATGATGAGTTGGTAATGGCGGGTCAGGCAGGAAACCCTCCCATGAATTCGTCAGATATGCAGCAGGCAGAAGAGCTTGCGGCATGGCTGGAAGCTTGGAAATTCAGCAAAAAGGTGGCTGGCAATCGGTGTGGTGGGCCACTCCTGAGCGCAATCAGCGAGCGACTGGACCCCAAGAAGTATCCGGACCTGAGATTTGTGCACTACAGTGCTCACTACGCTACTATGCTGTGTCTTCTGAGTACCCTGGGTATTTCCGCAAGCTCAGGGCAGGCCAAAGACAGCTGGCTTACATCGGAGCTTTTGGGCTTAAGTAGCGTTCTTGCCTTTGAAGTTTCGCTCTCTGACGGGCAGCTACTCGTAAGCTTGCGGTACTGGCCTGGGACTGACAGCTCGACCCGGACTTGGCGGAGCTTGGAGCTGCCTTGCCCAAATGGTGCGTGCAGTGAGGCGCAGTTCAAGGCATTGTCCGCATCTCAAGGTCTTCCCACTCTGCGTGCCTGGTGCCGCGCCTGTGAAAACTTTGAGCTTCGCATATGCGCGGGGCCAGCTCCCACTCCAGAAGATGAAGTGGTTCCTTCACAGTGGGATCTGCCGGCTATTGCGTTCGTCTTTCTAGGAGTTGGAATGTCAGCATTTTTAGCAGCCGGCTGCTACACCTTCCGGCGGAGCTTTGCTCAGTGTTTTTCTGCGGATGAAGAGAGACGGAGTATGGTCCATTCTGGTCCTGATGGTGCTACCATTGGGGTTTGCAGCCCAGCTCCGTCCCTGTGAGCAACATTCTCTGTTTCACACATCGTAGGAAATGAGCAGGATTTAGGCCTGTGCGGCATCACACAGAAAATAAAATTATAGAATTCGGAACCCTAGAGCGGTTTCACATCTATTGGCGAGGCTCTGCGCACATGCCCAGTCGAAACCTGTCGCCGAAGAAAGCGGTCATGGTTTGCGTTCCCAGGGGGTTTGGGGTTGGCTACAAGACATCCTTGGAAGGCTTTGGCCTTAGTGATCCTCTAAGCGCAAGTCTGTGGGCCGCGTGGTGCTGTCAGAGCAAGTTGTAGTTAAGCGTCGCCCTGCCTGACGCAGTTGTCAAGACATTTTCGAACCTTAGGACTTGAGAGGAAGCCTGTGAACCCTGTCAGATCCTGTCAGGGTGCCAAGCCGCTACAAGTTCGACTTGCTTCTGGAAACTTTACAGCCCAGGGAGCAGTCTGGCCAGGCACTCAGTGGCTAGAACGAGTGCTTGGGAAAGAACGAGGAAGCTGGCCTCCAGATTAATTTTGCAGTTTTGCACAGTTTTGTTGTCCCAGGTGCTACATCCTTGAAGACTCCTTTGTTCAGTGTCGTGGTGTGGTCATCGGCACCTGCCCGAAGACCCACGATCCCGAGAATGGAAGGCGAGCCCTATATTATGGAAGGTTTTGAGTCAAAATTATGGTCCCTTTCTTGGGTTCCCTGCTACAACAAGGCCCCTAATGTTTCGGGATCCCAAAAAGGGGCCATAATTTGACAGCCCCTCACGCTAGCTGCAATTGCAGTGCGCCAAATCTTTGGGGCAAGCTGCCTGCAGGAACATTCGCATTTGCCGCCTGCCAGTGGAGGCTTTGCAATCATCATGAAACCAGAGCTGGGATCTGCAGTCTTTTGAACTTCAATAGTTTGGTAGGCTTCTCTGCAGCATTGTGACCAGCCTTGCAGCCTTCCGCACAAAATCCAGCCAAGCCGAGCCAAATGCAAGGCATGGGTCTTGTCACCAGGCTTAAAACGCGGCAAAACCATTTTCAAGCCCGAAAGTCTCCCGGACAAGATGTTCGGCTGAGCCCCAAACAAAAGCCCCAAGACCTCACAGTCTTTCCTGAAAGATGCAAGGCTGAGCTTTCGGCTTGCACACGAACCATTTCGCTGAAGCCAGAGCTCTGGGATTGAACCAGAAGAGCAGCTCTCCTCCCGCGATACAACTTGCATTACAACTTGGAACGTCAATTAAAACGAAAAGGGCTCTTGGGACGTCCGGCTAATTAGCAAGCCTAGTGTGACGAGGCGTCCGGTGTTTCTGCCCAGCAGCCTGAGACATGCAGACAGACTTGGATTGAAGGAGCGCGGTCCGCTGGATTATTTGACAGGACGGAGCATGCATACCAGCATCTCAACTCCCCTAAGCTGCAGAGAAGGTTGTGGACGCTCCTTTTTTTATGGTGCTTCTCAATGATGATCTTTTTGTTGTGTGGTCGTGCGTTGCCATTTGAGCTTGAAGGAGATGCACAATTTGTTCATTTCCATGTCTGCGTGCGGATGTCTGGGGTTTGATCCGCATTGATTCAAAATTGGGATTTCAGCGAGGGAAGGTTCAGTTTGGCGCCTGGACGGAAGCTTTCTTTCCTCCGCTATCTTCCACTATATTCGATTTCTAAAAATTCTTGAACTGAAAATGCTGTTCACCCGTGAGGCACGACCACGCAGGGGCCTTCAATTTGCGGCTCTTTCGCGTGAGGCCTATGACGTTGGAGGCTGGCGGGCTGAGGGAAAAGCAAGGCAATAGAGCCCGTAAGAGTGAACGGGCGGAGTGTTCATGCTTGGCACGAAGATGGTCATTTTGCAGCTCATGTCTGCAGGGGTTAGGATCGTGAAGCCTAAGCCTTGGCATGTGCTGCGGAGGTCACATAACTTACACTTCCAGCCGAGTGGCATTGACGGTGACACCGGATGGTTGGATCTGTGGTCACTCCACTCGCGAGATGGAGGGAGCCATTGTGCTCGGGCAGCATTATCCCCCATTGCTCCCCTGAACAAGCGCTGCTGGCGGGCGGAGTCACACTTGGAAAAACTATTTTCCGACTCCCAGGTCTGTTTTTTGTGAGTGGGGGCTTTCAAGACCAGCCCTGCAGCAAGAAATCCACCACTCCTGCATGCATGTCTTGTAGGGCATAAGCCCCAGGGCATATTTCCAAAGATCCCCTGCCACCCTACCCCTCGTATATGGCGACTGGCATACACGGCTTCAAGGCAAGGGAAGGCCCAAGAAAATAAAAACGAACCAACGGCATCCAGAAATACGCAAAATGTACCAGACGTGTATAGCTTCAACGCAGTTTTGATCAGGCTAGCATGAATATGGGCCGTGGGAGGGGGGGGGGGGGGGGGNNAAGGCGGGTCGTTTGCGGTTTTGTCTTGATGCTCAAGTGCCCTGGGTTCGTGTGGGCTTGGGCTTTTCTTAGCTTCGCCTGGAGATGTCATCGAACACATTTGATGGCAGCAATTCTTGATGCTGCGTTTGCTCATGGCTGTTGGTGATGTTTCGCAGTTTCGCGCGGCAAGGATCTCTCTGCCATCCGGTTCTGCAAGCAAGGTGGAATCTCCTTGACCGATGAGGCCAGCGCTTGCCTGAGAATTTTTTCTCAACAAAACGTGAAGCTAAGATCCAGGTTACGCTGCACACTGTGGATGTCCGCGGCTCGCGGCTAGTTTGTCTTCAGGGCCATCTTTCTGAATGTTTTTATGTGGTGACCTCGGCCGAGATTTGGTGATGTAGGGCAGATGTGTTGCTCAGCCGCAGTGAGGGAGTGTGAAGGTCTTGGAGTCCAAGCGGCCACTGGCCATGCTGCCGGAGAGCTGCCGGCCGAAGGAGGTCTTGACGTGGTGTAGAACTGTCCTTAAACAAAGTAGCAGTTGTTTGCCAGGTGCTACATTTTGTCCCGGGCCTAGAAGCCTAGAAGCACCTAGCCTCAACAGTCAGCATTGGCTGCTTTTCACGAGGTTACTCCTGGCTCCGGACCTGGGGCTTTCCATCTCATCCAGGTCCGGCCAACACAAGGCCTCCGCCTTCAGCATTTTACGTCTCAGCTAGCCTGACGATTCTTGGCATGTCGAACCAGTTCACTTGACCCCGGCGTGATGCCCTGCCAGCACTGCCAGGTTCTGGCATTGGCGGCGATTTGATGTGGAAGCTTGGTGACACGAACTTTAGGATGCGTCAAGCTGACAATGGAATAGTTTGCTGCTTGTCCTTGCAGGCATGATGGAAGTAACGTTGCTGCTTGCCAGGAAAGACGGCGTGTGGAACCATGACCAAGTCCATCTCACCGGTATCATGCGACATGGCAGCTCCAGCGAAATGTTTTGTTTCGAGGGCTGAACATGTCAAAGATCAAAAAGGCTTGGTATAGTCTGACCAGCTACCTGATGCCCAAGGTATGAGGTTAGCGCCGACTCTTTGGCACTGTCATTTCTAGATGCCTCCTGGTCTCCAGCAACCTGGATGCAAAACTGAAATAAACATCATCCATCATCATTTGGAATGCCAGGTAATCTCGTAGTGAATCTGTCAAGGAGATCTTGAAGATCTTTGTGGCCGAGTTTCAGAAGTTCCTCATGGCAAAGTGCCTGTTCGACAATAATTCAGTGGCATGGTGCTGGAACAATGTTGGGATTTTACATGTGCGCAATACAACGAGCTCTTGGAAAGGATAACAGAAGAGAAGATAACGACATGTCGAACCATGGAACGGAGGTTTGGCAGCATTGATGATGCCTGGATCGAGGTGCATTGGACCCGGAACTGCATTTAAAGACGCTTAACGCATCTTAACGCATTCCAGACCACGGCTTTCCATTGCCAGGCTTTTGACCTAAACGGGCTGGGCGTGGTCAACTTCACACAGCTTGGCCCCTAAAAGGTGCAAGCACGGCGAGGGTCAGAAATGGACAAGAATAACGTTGCCAATCATGCCGATATGTTCTGCCGTTCAGAGGAGTCTCTGCCCACTACAGCACTGTACATGCCGAGGTTCAGCGTGGGTTGTAAGAAGGCGGGTTACGTTGGCAATGCCACCCGACTGTGGGCAGCTATCAATGACGACGCTTTCCGCAATTGATGCAAGTGTTCGACGGTATATCTCAACGATAGCTAGCAAGTAGCTGTTAACCAACAAAGTCTTACGCAGCCCAAAACCTAGACTCCACCTTGTTGGATCCACACAATGTGTAGAATGATGAAAATCGTGGCCAATCAGGATCACGGTGATGTGATTTGCCTTGACCAGCTAGCCAAGCTCCTTGGTCCAGATCCAGCAAGTGAAGAGCCATTGCATGTATCTTCTTGGTCCAGTCCTCAGGAATTACTTGGAGCCAGAGCAGCCTGGTTACTCACAACTTCTAGACATGGGCCACCTGGCAAAGTTTACGACAAGGCTGATGCTGCCTCCAGCATTTTTAGAGTCTAAGGGATGCGATTTGCGGAGAGTTGGTCGAGTTCGAACATGCCTTCATTGCTTGGGCATTGCTAAAAGGAAATGCCGAACTTCCAGCAGCAGCACTTCCAGAAGGAACTAGATGACAGTCGTGGCAGACCCAGCAGTAGAATTTCGCATGATGCCAACTTGCCTTACAAGTCTCATTTTCAAGCCGGAAGCCAGCAGCATTCGTTGTTTTTGCTCTCTTGTTTCTGTGCCAGACCCATGCGGGCATCATCATGACGTTCATGACATCACGCGCGTAATTCTGTGCCAATTGCAGCTGACTGCGCCGGAACGTGACGCATAATGCCAATAGCAGCAGTGATTTTCTTTAGCGCCCAGCTGTTGACCAAGCAGCATGGTGGAAGCTTGACAGCTTCCAGTGCAAAGCTGAAGGCTTCAGGAAAGGGTGGCTGGGTATCAAACGTGGCCCATTCCTTGAAGCCAATGGCAGAACCTCTAGTGCATGGCTGCCCTGGCCTGCAGCGGTGTGCTGCTCCTCGGCTCGCAGCTTCTTACATCTTATCCTGATGGCATTTGGAGGCTTCTTCTGGTTTGCTGGGCCGTGCACGGTCTATATAATCGGCGCCTCGCTGCTGCGGAAACGCGAATATCTATACTGTAAACAACAGCTACATCAACTAGAGGTTGTTCTGGAGTATCTCCGTCTCTCCTCAGGAGTCAGAAGTTGACGTTGATGCTCCAAGGCTGCTGAATGTTTCGCAGCAATTGCCGACCACAGCACTTCAGCCGGAGTGTAGCCAGGCTGCGGTTGGAGTCAGATTTGCATTTTGTTGCTGACCATGCTGTTTTGTGTGGTTCAGCCAAAAGTCACCTAAAAGTTTGTGCCGAGCTGATTGCATTCAGTTTTCCAAAAGTCAGAATGGAGTAGAGGACGTGTCCTTGCTAGTTACAAGTTTCTTGGATTTTCTTGGCATGGTTCTTGGGCCAGCCGCAGCTTGGGATGGCAGATTACTGCCTGCATTTTTGGACGGTTCCCTGATGTGCCACCGCGGTTGCTGCAAGGCACACAGTGCAAGACCCACTTCGAGACCCTGGAAGTGCCAAGGGGCCATGCTGTTGCCAGATGTTTCCGCCAGGCTGAAGCATTCAATGATGTTGAATCGGGTCCTGGGCAGGTAATCACGGGTTAGCCTGGAATGAGTCTTTTGCATGTTCTCGCCAGCTTTGTCAGGCAGCCAGGGGGTGGTCACCGTTTGGAGTCTTGTCTTCGCACGTAGGGAGTACACGAGCTGTGTTTACCCCCCTGGTGGGGCACAAGTGGTTGCGACTACAACTTGATAAAGCAATCCCCAGGCATGGATGTCTCTCAGAGTTTACTAGGTATGGAAAGCCTCTCAGCTGCACATAAGAGATGGCGAAAGGGCCGCCAATACAATCTGCCAAGCACTGAAGCAGGAGAGCTTGTTCGCAATCTTGCAGCTGGCTGCAGTTGTGGAAAGAAGGCTATGGCCTTGGGAGCATAAGGTGGCAGCATTCGACGGGAAGCCTTGGATTGGATGCAGGCCTGCCAGAGGAGGTGCTTGGGACTGGCTTGACTCAATTCTACATACATGCTGTCATGCTGGTAGCCTTGACCACTCTGGGTCTTGTGACAGGCCGGGTCGCGTGTTCTGGATCTTGCAGCTGAAAGCTGTGAAGCAGTTTTACGACCTGTCGAACGTCCTGGAATCCATGTTGCTTTGCGTGCCATTGGCTTGCCTTGAAGAGGCTGCCGCAGGGTTCCTGGCACCACTCTACCTATTTCAGGGACTCAGGTCAGGAGTCCTTGATCTGCCAGAAGACCTGCTCCAGCCTGGCTGTCATGAGAACCATATCCGAATGCCTTTCCGTTTGGCTGTGGCGGCTGACCAGCTTGCAGAGTTTCGGGAAGGCTTGCTCTTGGGACCAGAAGCTGCAAGAGATTTGAGAAGGTCTTGGCTGATACGCTTTGGCCAGGACCCCCGCGAGAAAAGGCCTCCAGTCATCTTCACTGCAACAGAACAACCGCTGCTCCCGCACACCATGCGGGAATCAGCACAGACTTACCAAGCCAAACTCTGTAGCGGCGCAAACGCCTCTGGCAGTGCTGTGCTTTTCGCAGGCGACTGGCGCTTTGATGAGGCCGTGATAAGAAGTATACACCGTCATCTTGTGCGGCCCCTAGCAGCCAAAGTATTTGCCGTAGTCAGTCGGCGAGGGCAACGCCACGGATGGAAGGAACGCCATACCCTGAAGAAGCATTTGCCATCTTTGAGGGCTTTTGTATGGTTGTTGGACGACTCTGATGCAGACCTGCGCCTCAAGATTCAGCCGCGTGCTCTAAGGTTTTACGAGAGGCTGGGTGGCCGGGCTTTAGCACCCTTGGCACGGCATAGCAAAGGAGGTTCTCTACACAGCCTCATCAAACTACAAAAAGTGTTGGAGCTGACAGAAGCTTACGAACGCCAGCGTGGATACTGTTTCCGATGGCTGGTCTACAGTCGCCTGGATTTGCTCTGGATTGCTAGCCATCCTCCCTTGCGACTTCTTGACGAGCGAAGCATTTGGACCGTCCCTCTTGGAGGAACGCTCCAGGAGCAAACGCGTGAGTCTATAGCTGCTGCTTGCCGTGCAGGGCACTGCCTCCAGCAGTCAGGGCGTGCAGATTGAGAGCCACCCGGAAAGTTATTTGCAACGACAGTGAAGTTCTGCATGAGGCTTTCGCTGCGAACGACTGGCATGGTGCGATACCACGGTCATTGGCGTTTGCCTACTTTGGTCGTTGGCCACTGGTCTCTCTGATGCAATCTAGAGGATGCTAACAAGCCCAGCGAGTTCACAAGGTTGTTTTGCTTCTTTTGTGGCACGGGTGAGGGCAGCGTAGTTGCCACCAGTAACTTGCCTCCGCGCATGAACGCCGTCGTCGCTTCGAGTTTGCAAGCGACAGAGCGAGAGAGAGGTAGCAAGCCTAGTGCCTGCTTGGGCCAATCCACAACCCATGGCCACAACGTCAAAAGACCGGATTCACAAAGTCTTGATGTGCAGAAGCCAGAAAACAGTTCATGGTTTGAAACCTCTGCTGAGGTCGCCAGCGGAAAAGTTTTGTGGCTGCCATCTATGGAGCCAGAGGAGCACCTGCAGCTAATTCCCATGTTTTTTTTTGGGTAAGCGCTGTGCCCTTGGACCCTCTGCATCCGAGGAGCTGTTGATCTCCGTATGCAAGCTCTTGAGCCTTGGTTTGACAGCAACGAAAAGGAAACTTTTTGTTTTCCCACCCTGCTTGGACCGCATCATGGATGTCTTTCCAGCGGGCGGTTTTCCGTGCTAAGGATGGTACCCATGGGCATTTTCGACCCAGTGTTCGCGCTAGTCAACTGTCGCAAGTGGCGTCCCATGATCGGCAATGCAGAATGCAAGGCATGACTTGCATTTTTGCTTCTTGCATCTTATCCCCTACGAAAAGGCAATACCATCCACAAATCACGAACAGCCAAAGGCATGACTCGGAGTTTATTCTGCAGGTTCACTTGGCTTGCTCAGGGGAGTGCGGCACTTTGCAATGTGCTGTTTTTGCAGATTCAACTTTTGCGCGACTGAAGGTTGCCAATACCGGGGCTGGATTGACACAAAGAGCCGTTTCCGTTGGCCGAAGCAAGCAAAGCGCCTCGGCGCCAACTACCGGGTCGTGCCCATGCTGCTGAGCACGCCATCTACTTCCAAGCAGCACAGCACGCCCTAAGGATAGTATTCCAAGCTGCCAAAGATCTGCAGCTTGGTTTGGCCTCGTGGGTTCGTCAGGTCGGCAGCCTTGTCATCAGGAAAAAAGGCCACCCCATTGGGCAGCTCGGCCAGTGGAGAGGCATTTGTCCTTGCTTCGCCGACTAAGGCAGGCACCCTTCACGCCCAAGAATGTGGTCGTCCGCTATAGAGTTGGGAAGTCTTCAAGATCAATAGCTTATGTGCTTTGTAAATTGACGTGGGGGCAGTATCTTTTCCAGCCGTTGAGATTTCCCAATGAAATTGCCTCAGCATCTCAAAACGAGAACTGGCCAGTTTCTGACACAGATCGCAAGTCCAGAGCGCTCGGGGGGCTTAATCTGAAAGACACAGAAAGTAAGATTGCATCTGTGTTTCACTCAGAATGCTTCTCCGTGTCCGAGCCCATCATGCTGGCTTCATGTCATCTTGAATTTGCACATCCAAGGACAGGGAGAAGCTTGCAAATTTGGAAAAGCCCTCCAAACGGAGGTCTTTTCGGTTGAGGTATGCTTCACGGGAGATCAAGGCTTGTCAGTCGAATGTTGTCTACAGGAATTACTTCTCCTGAGGTCTATAGAGTCTAGATAGAGGCCATGGTAGGCCAAGGTCAACAATGGAGGACAGAATGCGCTCGCAAACCAGGAGCGATTTGCTTTTGAGCATGGGCTGGTAGCTGCAAAACCGCTTGCACTGGCGCTCAGCGCAATCTCAGCACAATTTTTGAACTATTCTTGCCGCTCGTCTATTGGAGCTGCCGCTAGATGACGAAGATGCCGGGGTCGGACGGTATAAGTAACGCACAGCAGAGCAAGCATCCAGCTAACAACCTTTTGACTCTGGAGCTGCATAGAAGTTGGCAATGAATCAGACTGCACTTGCACATTCAAAGAGCACCACACTAGCCTTACAGCGCAAGACTGACATTCTTGCATACGCATTATGCATTTGACTTCATGTCAGAGACTGAGATGGCCCGCCTGTTGCTTCGTTTGTTGAGTGCTTGTGGCCTTCTAAGCTCTGGGTTTCCGAGCAAGGGGCTACCTACCGCCTTCACGTCGTCTACTGTCGTACCTTTTTCTGTACGAGCTGGAGTTTCGCTACAGCGACGGTACACTCTCAGGAATGGAAATGATGCCGAAACCTTGGCAGGCGTAGGATATCTATCCGAACTTCTGGATTGGAAGCAAGCGTTCCATAATGGACCTCATTTCTAGATTCTACCCGAACTTGCAGGCTGTCAAGGCGCACAACACAAGGGGGAGTTGTTTTCTTGCACTCGTTGGAGATCTCCTGAGTATGTGCGTATTCGATCCTATTTGCAATAGTTCTCTCCGTAACTATTCACATGTGCTTCTTGCAGGAGCAAATGGCAGTCCTTTCGATATCTTTGTTTGACATGTTTATCGAGTTGTTGGCGGCCCACCCTGTTCCTCAAGAACTTTGGTGCCACCTTATGCTGGAGGTGCGTGTGGAAACCTTGGCCCGCGAGCTCCACCTGCGAGCTCGACCTGCGAACTCAGCCAGCTTTGCCAATGGCGGAGGCACTAGCGGCTCCCAAAGCTCAGAGATCCATTGGAACTTCCGTTTTGCCAACCTCTGGTCCTCTGGTCCCCGGCACTGACTTTCCTTCGCTTCGTCAACTCTCTAAGGACGACGATGGTGGCCTCCTCGATAAGTTGGACCGGAGACAACGTCCCTGCCTAGAGGATTTGGAGCCACCCGAGCCACCTTGGATCCTGCTTCACTCCCTTCTTTTGCGCTTTCCTTAGCTTCTTGGACAGCGTGCGCCCTCTCAGCCAAAACTGTACCGGACCAACTCTTCCTGCCAGCAGACTTGGCATTGAGTGCATCTCGAGTTCCACACAGTCTCAAAGCCAGAGGCACCAGCCGACGTGCTCCCAAAGCAGGGACCAGGAGGATTCGCACTCCCCTGAAGATGATAAAGATCAGGCAGACTCAATTCCACGGAGAAGAAACAAGAAGAAATAAGTTGACCATAGCTTGAACATGTTAGCAAAAAATTATCCCCCCACCCCCTTCACCCTCCCCCCACAGCCCCCTCACCACCCCCCAGCACCACCCCGCCGACCAATGCCCAAACGACAAAACACAGCAAAAAAACACGCAGCAAGGCAAACTACGTGCAAGCCTCCCCTTACAACCCCTATATGCGGGGGAACCAAAGATCAAAAGCTGCTTGACTGGAAGCCCTCATGCTTGCAATGCAGTTCTTAGACAGGGTTCCCATGGTTGATGTAGAGAATGTCTTGTGTTGTGGTTCCAGTCCCGCTTGGCGCAGAACGCATCGTGGCATTGGAGCTGGTCCTCTTCAATGCAGCTGCGAAGCATCTGCCGTCCAAGCAGGTGGATTTCCAAATCCCGGTTCTGACAAGGAAGGCAATGCATACTATGCATCCGATAGAGGCCATGCTCGGCCATCGTGATGAGGAATGCGGTGCCGGAGACAACTTCGAACGATGCTCCAATGAATTGCAGACTAACTCATGCACCCCCCACGCAAGCAGATTTGAATCCCGAAGTTGGTTTCGCTCCGACTGAACTGCGCCCTCCGGCTTGTTGGGTCTCTGACAATCCACATAGCCTAGGTGAGGATGCGAAAATTTCGGGATCCCGTGCAGAAGCTGCAGTAACATGAAATCGAGTGGCAAGAGTGGTTTCCTGAACACTCTGCAAACATCATCGACATTTATCAAGGATAAGCCGTTGCGCAGCCTGATCACCTCAAGTTCAGGTATGTCTCTAAAACTTGTGAAATCAATGTGTGACACAAAACAGGCTGCGCACATGCAAGGCGCTTCGGAGCAAACATGCTTTACTCCACCCCTCCCTAACAGCAACTCACAGTGCCATCTCCGCAATGTTGCGGCAACTATGATCAGATGATGCTGCTTGAACATGTTTTGTGTTGACTGCAAGAAGTTGTCACATGGCACAGCTGAGCGTGTCCAGCCCAGACCCTCAGGTGCTGATGCAGCATGCTGCCTTAGACCCAGATGATGAGGTGACCGAGCTACGCTTTGTCCGAGGCTAAGCGTATGCGCAAAGATTCATTGGTGCTTTGCTGTTTTTTAGTTGTCGAGCTGAAGAACGTATTCATTCGCATGTGCGTGCGCGTGGCAGAGCGCAGAGCTACAGTAATGATGTTTTGGCCCAAGCGAAGCCTGACAAACAAGACAAAATGGTGCCCCGACACAAGGATCGCCGAGCAGCCGCGCTGTTTCTGAGTCATGAACGACCAGAGAGTCACCGTTCCGACTTCTCTGCGTTTGTTTTTGGATCTGAAGTGTCCTGGAACCAGGGCCGTGATATGGTGGCTGCCCTGCTCGAATCAAGAGCTCGAGCAGCACCGGTCTGCCCAGAATCGGCCATGTCGCTCATGGTCCCTTTCGAGCAGGCAATCTTCGATCCTGAGGAGTCCGGGGCCTGGGAGTCGCCATGGAGCAGAATCCCTATCAGGCTCAATATTCAACGGCCTATCCTCGACGGCCTGCTCGACCCTCTAGATGATGATGTGTGGGACCGGGGCTCTGCAGGTTCTGACCATGTAGAGCATCAGCACCAGCACGCTGTTGCTGAGCATGCGCAGCACCACCCCCACGATGACGCAATGACGGACATTGGGGTTGCTCTGGTGTCATCTGGAACCACTATATTTCTAGCCTTCATGAGTGCCATTTTTGCCATGAGGCTGTTTCGGGAGATGATGCGGCCACAAGGACAGCAAATGCAAATGAATGCAGGTGCTGATGGTGATGTGCCTGGAGTCTTGCAGCTAGACATTCCTGGTGTCCAGCCGTTCCGGCCATTCTCGGGTCAGGGGTATCGCTTGGTTGTTGAATCAGACTCAAGCAAACCCGAGCCAGAGGTTTCCCCCGCTCACATGGCCGACCAAGCTGAGAAGAGAGGCAAAGATACTCCCCGTAGCTTGTCGCCTGTTTCCGCTGTTTCTGCTAGTGCCCAGCCCAGCGGAGCATCAACCGATGCAAGGCAATCTGGGCTTCCGCAGTTCGGAGTTAGTGACGATATACCGGAAGTGACGGCCTCCGCAGTGGTCCAATGACAGAGCCAGTGTGTCGGCAAGAGGAGCTGACAAAATGCCGCATGCCAAGATGCTGGAAAAGTGGAGCTCATGAACGAATTTGCCCATGCAACCTGTTGGGGTTGGAAAGCAGACACTTGGTGTGAAGAAGACAATTGGGGCATGTGCAGCGTCCCTTTCTGTTTTCCAGCAATGAATTTTTCAGGTGGTGCCCGCCGCTGCCGTGGATTCCTGGTCATCCAGGCAATACTTTTCTGCAGGTCAAGGAAAGGTGCAAGAAGCATCAGGATGGCTGTAGCTAAGTCTTTTTTTTTTCCTTGGTAGGAGTGCCACAGCAACGTAAGAGATTAGTTCCGAGTGGCCATAGTGGGTGGGTTTCCCGCATGTTGTTACGCTCGCTGCTGCCGCTGCTGCTGTTGCTGCAGCAGTAACCCAAAGTAGGTTGCATGGCGCCACGGAGTTGTTAGGCTTAAGACCATACTTGCTGCCACTTTGAGCCACAGACAACGTTTAGAATCTGGACAAAGGGCAAAGGGCGTGTTTAGAAGCTGGGGCTTTCTTGCAGCATCTGGCAGCTCACAGCTGAATTCTCTGCCCAAGCCCGATGAGCTTCAAGATCCCTTACGCACAGTTGTTGAAAAAACCCTGTTCATGTTTGTAGCAGAGACAGCAGGGATGTACCAAGAGACTAGCCATCTCTCAGATGGGGGATGCAGCACGCACAAGGGCAGCTCTAGACTTCGTTTGCCGCGCCCTTCGCAAAGCTGGTATACTTTACGTTGACGCGGAGTGCTTACGCTTAGCGAAGCATGACGACTCTTCCGTTAGGCCTGTCATGTGGGCCCTTGTGGTCAACTTGCTGGACTTTCTGCAGGACTTCAGGCAAAGTGCTTGGACTCCACGCCTGCAAGAAACTGGAGTGGAGCCATCCTTGCCGCAGAAGGAGATGACAGTTTTCAGGCTAATGCTCTTGGGTTACCCTCGGACAGACCGTCTTGAAAATGCACGGGAACTCCTTCTTGCAGTCGGCTTTTTGTTAGGCATCTCGCAGCTGTTAGCCGGAGCAAGGTGCACCGCGTTACCTCCGTATCCAAATGACATCGCCTCCTTGGAGAAAAGGCCGTCGCTTTCGTCGCACTCTGGCCGACAGACACCTGAAAGCGACGATTCACTTTGCAATGCACTTTGCGAAGACGTTCTTCAACTACATGGCCGGTGGCATGCAGAGATGAGAAGAATAGAGCAGCTGGAGTCCCACCGAATTTGCTTGTTGAAGCAGATTCGAGATATGGGATACCAAAAGCTGCAGTCGCTGGAAGGGTCTGACAGGATCAAGAAACTTCAGCCACCCACCCTGTATGAGCTATTTGTGCTGGAGCGTGCCCTGCTGCAAGAGCATGTGGATGACTTGCAGAAGAGCATCATGAATCTGCAGACCCACAAGGCGCGCAGAGTGTTCTACCTGTTATCCCTAGATCAAGATTGAGTGCCAATAGTGAACAAATCCAGGACCGGGTTCGCAGTGTCTTCAGCACTCATCACCTTGTGGTAGGTTTGCAGGAGTTGCAGCATGCCCTGTAAGGACGAGGAGCTATTCTGGCGCTGGATGGGAAGTGTACAGCGGGCTGGAGAAGGTGCCAGTCAGTCCTCAGATGGCTCACGCGACCGGTTTCACCTAAGCGGTTGCTACACAACGGAGGACATGGCGGAGAACTTCCAAGCATTTGATACATCTGCCGCTTTTGTCCAGAGAGCTCGAACAGAACTTGCCCTGCCACTCCGACACTTTCAGCAGAAAATGCTGCACACACCTGGAGACTTGCGGGAGCACTGGGACAAGATAAACAAGTCATTGCCAATCACTGATCAACGTGTCCTGAAGCATGAGCTGCGAAGTTTGGGGGTTGCCTTTGATGCTCTGTTCCCATCACCTTGGAACCCCCAGTTGAAAGGTGCACAAGGGGTCCAGAAAGCTGCGCAATGTGAAGCAACGCTGCGTCAGGTTGTTCTCGTAGAGGCGGGTAAAGGGCCTTCACCCAACGAGCCGTCCACGATAAACATCCAAGAGCATGTTTATGCGCTTCGCGAGCGCTATGCCTCTGCATCTCGGGAGTACACCGATCAGCTAGCTGAAGCATCGAAGGAGCTTCGCAAAGTTCTAACTCTCTTGGCAGACTTGCAGGTGCTCACGATTGGAAAAAACACCCCTTCTTTGATTTTGATCTGTGCCCCGCACTCCAGCAAGCAAGATTACTTCTTGCCAGGCCAGAGGCATGGGCTCCACGGCTGCGGGGCTTGGACCTTGCATGCCCTGTCAGCCTGCCCTCACCTCGGATGCGATGCGTTCCCGCACCATGCAGATTGCCATGCAATCGAGGTGCTCCGGATGCTTTCGACTCCGCGTGGAGGTGCCGCTGTGACCTTTGCTGGCTTTGGCAACTTTTAGGCCCGGCGTCACGGGCTGGTCTTGCCTCAGTAAAAGTAGTATGAAAAAACAAGCTCCCAATTCCGATGCACCGTGCCTACCCCATGCCCCAGACGGCCCATCATGAGCACAACTCAAACTCCAATCTAGCCAAGAAATTGCAGGAGGGTAGCATCATAAGAATAGTACTGTAGCACTCCTTAAACGCATGACTAAAAACACCTTGAATGCTACAGGAAAATTTACAGCGTGCTACAACTTGAGCAGATTCATTGCACAAACTGTATGCGTGCATACAGCTTTCTCAGCACTCTGGCACAGCGCCCTTGCAGCCTATGAAGCCTCACGTTGCGCAAGCGCAACAGGCCTAAAGGTGAGAGCCGGACCCCCAATGATGCTGATAATGTGGGGCATCAAAAGCATCATTGTGGGTCCCTTTCTCTTTAACTTTGGGCCTATGAAGACAGGAATGTAATAGTGAATTAGTGGATTCTTTCGATTGTGCTGACATGGTGGATAGTACTGTGGTATTGTGGCACCAGCACGAGGGTGCCCTGCCGCTCCTAGCATCATGCAATGCAAACATGTGTAGAGCGGCATGACGCCCATGGCCCTTGATTGTTGAGGGCCCAAAATGCCACTGACGCCAAATCTTGTGTAAAGGGTACTGATTGTGGCAGGTTTCATCAGCACCTTGTGCAACGAATATCCACAGAAGCAGGCACGGGACTTGAAAAGCTCTGAGAGTCCTGTCTTTGAGTTGTAAAGCTCCAGAAGACTTTAAAGGTACCGCTGCTGGCTGCCAGGCTGCCCTCTGCAGGTTGGTCAAACCTTTGCGGCTATCATGCGAAAGCACGAAAATGCTCCATATGTGTCAGCCTGATATGCGCTGCACTTGCAAAGGTCACTGTGTCCCTGCACATGACCACGAGCGAAGGGGATTGTCCGGAGGCATGAAGTCTTGCCGCAAGCCTTCTACAAATCTCTCAGCCATTCTCAGCCCATGAAAGTACTAGGCAGCCTGACGCGGCTTTGCCAGAAATGAACAATTGTCTTTCAAAAGCCATGAACAAACATTATATTGCAGGGGTCGGCATCTGCTGCAGGCCAATCCACTTCAGCTGGCTCCGAGAGTGTTGTCTGGAGCTTGTGAACTGCTCTGCCCTTCAAATTAGCAGAGCGTTTGTCATTTTCAAATGCCGTCTTAGTTGAGGCAAAGGCGCAGGCTTGAGTGGCTTGAGGACAAGGCGCCGGTACTTGTGCCCCGAACAGAAACAAGTGCAGAGTCCTGACCATACGGACTCGCATCGACTGGAATTTCAAAGCCGCAGCCATCAAGACTGTCAAGGACAACCTTACTTGTACAGGTGATGCAGGCCCTGAGTGTTGAGAAGCCAGTTGGCGAATCTGGCAGAACGTTGCGCAGAGTATGCCTGTTATTTCGCGTCGTGTGCGTTGCCGGCGTGGGCTACTTGTCCATGGGGTCGGCCAAAGCGCTTATGCAGCTTGTGCAGTTCTTCCATACCAGTACATCTCCCACTCCGCTCCTTGGTGATGGCACTTCTGTGGACTGGTGGTTTGCTTTCAAACCCACCACTGACGCTTTCCCTGGCTGCTCTAGCAAGCCGACCTGCATTTTTGGTGGTGACAATCAGTCATATGCCAGTTGGGGGTTGCAGTACATCCTGTCCTATGGTAGTAAAGGACAAACCTCGTCCATGAAGCTTCACAGCGACTGCCTGGGAAATGCCAACGACCCGGTGGCAAGGACGTTTGCTCAAGTATATTCTGGCAGCGTGCCAAATTATGTGATTTGGAACGATCAGTTCTATGATGACCCTGAGCTGAACATTCAACCGCCTTGTGTCAAGTACTGTGCTGGTCCTTGGGGGCACAGCAAAGGCGCAATGGCTTGGGGTGACGATGGTACCGGCTTTGTCATGCAAGTCACGACGCCTGATTGGCCAGGGTCCGGGTCTGCATCCAAGCCGCGAACTCGGCAAGGCAACACACTTGGGTGCGTCAAAGACGACAACATCAAAATTGCGCAGCACTTCTTTGCAATACGCTTGGCAACAGTGAATGACACACGAACCATTTTGCAGGCTTTGCAGAGAGCTTCGGCTGCAACCGACCCCCGCAATGAGCAGTTGGTGAAGCTGAGCTCTGGTCCAGCCGAGCTCTCCAGCTTGGCGAAGCAACTTGGACGCCAAGTCCTTGACAACCTGACACCGCTGTTGGGGACCCTCAGCGTCAGGACCTCCAGTCAGGTGCGGCTGATTGCCAAGCCATCTGGATTACATGTGCCACCTTGGCATACGGTGTCTTCGATGCTTGGCTCTCCATTACGCACGGCTTCATGGTGGACAAAGCCAGAGATCAACTCCACGAAAGCTGGCTTCATGCCTTGCTGTTGGAACAAGGCCCTCTAACCGCCTCAAGAGGTGCAGGTGGCTCTGAGCGGCCAATGGGAGGGGAGGACCTTCAGTCTGGAAGGGCGGCCGACTACAAATGGCAACCATGCGAAGCTTGCCCACAGCCTTTCTGGTTCCAAGCTGACGGTCATGGCAGACATGAACCAGCAGGGAAGCTTGAACGGAGATGCAGGAAGTGGAGACAGCTGTGAGGCTTCGCAGAACGGTCGCGGCGGCCTGTTTTTCGTAATCGAGGATGATGTGCTCCACACAGGCCTCACAGAATTGCTTCGCGGCGCCACAGCGAAGTATGTTGGTGGATCGCCAGCACCCAGGCCAACACCTCCAGCGCCTCCATTTGGTTCATGTGGAGGAGCTGGGGTGTTGTGGAGTTCATGTCAACCTTGGAGTGGTTGCACGTATGTGCACAAAGCTGATGCCCAGACGTGTGGTGTGCAAAGCTATGGGTGTTATGCCCCTGCCAGTCTCTCAGCCACTTGTGCCAAGTCCAAAATGTGGGTGTGAAGTAAACCTTGTTTGGAGGAGTGGGTCCTCCCAAGTTTGTCAAGGTTCCCATGTCCAGACTCAGAAGGCAAGAAGCCATTCTCATTTGAGGTGGTCCCTGCTTTGCAGACGAACGATCCTGTGGGCAGTTGCAGGGAACATCGCTGGCTTTCAAGCTGTTCAGGCATTCTGAGCAACATGCGCCAAAGGTGCCGCCAACTCGTGGTTGTCCTTTTTTTTATCCGGTGGAGGCATGTCAAGCCCCAGCAGGAGCTTCAACGGTTAGTAGGTAGAGCTTCGATTCAATCGAAGTCAGCTTCAATTCGGAGATTTCACGCGCATGGAGGCTTGGCCAGGCCTTGGCAGGGCCCCACAGGAGACGGCGCTAGCTTTTTTCAACTTGCAATTTGAAGGAAATTGTAGTCTGCTTCCATGTATGTTGACTCAGTTTTCGTTTGTCCCATAATCTCCAGACCTTACTGATAGTTGCGGGGCCCTGCGGCCCCCCTGGCTAACAGTACCAGCTCAAAACTTGGAAAAGTGGCGTTCAGCGTCAGCTGCTGGTCCTCAATTTCGATAATGCACATATGATTGCAGATTTGTCCGCTGCCTGGGCAGTGAGCCATACATTATCCCATGCGCAAATGCATGGATCAACGGCAGTAGACATTGCCCTTGGACCTTCCATGCTTGGTTTGGTACTTTGACCGGGCGCAGGGTTGAGACCGTTGCTTCAAAGCGCACTCAATGGAGGCTTGAAGCCGGCTGGAATCGTATGCCGGGTCGGAGCCAACAAGCTTGACCTGCTGCATTTAGCTCCTTGACCTAGCAGTTCCTAGCAGGAACGGCGAATACGTGAAAGAGCGCCGCCGCTGCTGCTGCTGCTGCTGCTGCTGCTGCAGCAATGAACGGCAAAGCGCCGTAACACCTTCATGTGATTATTCGGTTCTACCGTGTTTTGCCATGATGTTCGGTCAGAGGGATCGGCTGGTTTTTTGGTAGGCCGTGGCTTCGGAGCAGCGTCAGGAGAATCAGCGCAGCCCCAAGCAGAGACTTGTTTGCAGAGCTGTGCTGGCACAGGAACACTGTGTGTGAGCGTGAGCTATGTATCAGGCAAGTAATTAGCTCTAGGGTGTTTGTGCTCGAGAAGCATGAGCTTCCACTGTACGTTTTGGTTGAGGTCCGTGACCATCCTGTGCGCTTAGCCATGAAGTCTGCCGTGCGTGTTCAGATTACGACTCTGACTTGATTTAGGGTCACTTTTCTGATTCCACGAGCTGATCGGCTGTTGGTGATGATTGGTCCCATGCCCTGTAATTGCAAAACACCATGATCCATCTTCTCGACCTTGGGGCCACCGGCTTCGGCGCAAGTCGTTTTCAAACGCAAGTTTTGGCCCAGAAGCAGGGAGTGCAACACTTTTGCCAGCATGACCTCGCGCCTGTTGCAGGCGGGTGCATTCCATTTCAGTGCTGGGGATCTCCGCTAGTTCAAGTTGCACCTGAGAGTTTTGCATTACAAGAGCTTCAGAAACAAGCTTTAGCCTAGCGAACAGCACGTACCATGGTGCTGTGGTTCTGCACCACTTCGGCTCACAGTGTAGATAGTTCGACATGGGTCACCACGCAGACGTGACTGGCCGTGAACAACATTCCGCCATGAAGTCAGTTGAGGCTCCACTAGTCCACTACACCAGCTACCGGCAGAACGGTTGTGGTCCTGAAATTCCTTGGCTGTCACCATCCCAGCTCGCGGAAGACTGGAACGCCCCAATTTCGTGGACCACAGAAAGTGGCAGCCAGTCCAGCGAAAGCGCGTCTCCAGTCGAGAAAGCTGAGATCCCCAAGCAGGCTTCAGATGCGGATGCGCAACTTGCATACGTGAGGCCGGCTCCTGGTCTGGGGAGCCTGGGGCCTGGCGACCTTGCTTTTCTCAGTCAGCAAGGCTCAGCCATCGGCAGACAGCCGGCCCCATGTGATATGCTGAGTCTTGATGTTCCTGTTCCATTTCTGGCGGACGCTGTTCATACTGGTTTCGCCGGTCAATCAGGTCAAGACCAGGATGCGCATTCGCATGGAGCTAGCATAGCTGGCCACAAGTCACTGCCAAAAGCAACTCAAGCTTTCCGCAAAGCTCGTCGAGAAGCCGATGAATCGGATTTGGCCATGCAGAAGAGGATCAACAAGGACGGGGGCCTGATAAGAGGTACGTTCATGGCTTGCATTGGCTTGCGTTATCCCAGCAGATCTATAACAGTCAGGTGCACGTCATTGGTCTAGTTTTTGGGACGTTCGTCGCATGGTGCACGTGGCCCTTCCGGCCTTTCCAATGTTTGGTAGGTCGCCGTGAGACTGTTTGAAAACAACTTCCCCTGCCCTGGGTGCTGCCTTTTCATGCTGATGCTGTGCATGCGACTCGTGATAAGTTGATGAGATAAATGTCTGAGGATTATCTCAAAGTGCTTCCAAAACTGAAGACTGCAGGAGCTCACAACCGCTGCAAGTTCAAGGCCCGACTGCATCACTGAGGCCCGCACTCAGCAGATTCCTATCTTGTTCCATCTTGTTCCAGCAGTCGTGAAGGAGCGTTGTGGCAAACCCAGAGCAATCATTATCTTCCACCTAGCAGTTTGATGTTGCAAGGCTGCTGAAGTTGCAAAGAACACATCTTGAGAGGTGCTGCGGGTGGCCGCAGTTCATCTCCATCAATTGAATGGAGTCAATTTGTCTACGGCCATCCATCGCCTGGCTCGGGCATGCGAAGGCTCCAAGGCAAATGCGAGTCGAGTCAAGACAGACCCTGTCTTCGTTCTGATGATCGAGGCGCCGTGGGGTTAAATTCGTTCAGGGGCAAGAACCGCTACTCTGAACTGAACGTGCAGGTGGCAGAGCTCAAAGCTCAGCAGGAGCTTCTTGGTGAGACTGACAGCATGCCTGGCAACTGCTGCACCATCATTACCTGGTCCTGCGCTGTCCTCCGGTTCTTCCGACCCAACCTTTTCACAGCTCTGGCTAGGGTAGCTGCTGGTAAACTCCAGGCAGGGCTTAGAGAGATGTGTGGACACCATCGGCGCCGTTTGCCTAAGTCAGAGCTCAATTCCCTGAGAAGGACTGCCAATGCTACGAAGTCACCAACCTGTTGTGGAGCTTTGCGGAACTTTGCAAGCGACAGCCGCGGATGGCGGCTGAGCTTGAAGCAAACATACAGGACAGGCTACACTGCGTAGCGTCATCAAGTGATTCAGCCTTCGCTGTTTAGCATGGCGCAGGAGCTTGTGGAGGCCACTGCAAGCTACTTTCTCCGCCGAAGTCCACAGGCCCACTTCTTAAAGCTTTGTTGACAGCACATTTCTGAGCGGCAGGACACGTAGGCTAACTAGTGGCCAGTGATGTTGCAGAGCGCTGGATGCTATGCAACCCTCCGCTCAGCAGGGGTGGAAGATACAAGTGCTGGTCTCGGCGTTGGTGTCGCTGACCTGCATGCCGTGCAAGGACTTGTGACGCAGCATGGAGAACGTCCTAGTGCTGTTGTTGTTTGCTGAAATACCCGACCTTCTGCAAGGACTTTTGCACAAAGTGGTTCATCATCAGCATTGTGCAGGCAAGGGGTTACGTGAAATCTGTGAAAAAGCTGCGCCGAGCTCGGGAAAGCTCGGCCGAGGAGCTCGCGGAGCGCAGCGACGAGGCGCAGGGTGCCAACCTGTTGCCCGTGGTGGTTGCATTTGACACCCTGCGCACCAAGCACGTGAAGGCACGCACGCAATGCTTGTGGGAAACTGTGAGATGTCGTAGAATTTTCGCAGTTAAGTCCTCGGATGCTTCATGCCTCAAGCAAGATTTGCTGATGCGTGCAGATAATAGAGTGAGGATAGTGAGGGGTAGACAGGCAGCCGCAAGCATGTGAATGCATTCTGTGCATAGATGATTAGCCACCAAAGGCTGTAAAATTCATTCTCCCAATTTCCAAGAGACAGAAGGTTGAGGAGGCCGTTTTCAGGGTTGCAAGCCACCGTCCCCAGACAAAAACCAAAGGATCCTCATGCTCAGAAGAAAACCCCGCCAACTAGTTAGGACCAGTGAAGCGGAGGAGCATGCCATCCTTTCAGGCTGCCCCTTTTGTTGTTGACTTCCAATGCCAACTCCATGACTTATGTTATGCTCCACTCACCGTATAAGATTCGAAGATTTGCCTGCACCAGGTCTTCCGCGAAATTTCAGCTGCAATGATTGCACGGTACCCCAATTTTGTTGCTCGCTACATGTATGGTGGCGATCGCCAAAAGGGGAAGGCACACAAAAAGCCAAAGTCATCGAAACAGGCCGAAGGCTTGTGAGGCACATAGTCCTTGAATGCTTGTACTGTACAGCTCCAACTTCCATCCGACTTGACTTGGTGGCAGGTGAAGCAAGCGCTTGAACACCTCCTGAACCATATTCATACTTCAATCGGCCCAGAGTTCCTAGATTCTCAGCTGGTAGGATCTGTTGCGTGCCAGGTACATTTGTCACCATTTGTCTTGGATGCCAGTCTCAGTTTTGCTAGCGAGCAGTTGGTTCAGTGGCCAATGTTCCATTAATTTCCACTTGTTAATTTGCTGCGGAAGACCCTCTGGATGGCACGGCAGAGAGAGACAGAGAGAGAACATGCTTATAGCAGTGAGAAGAAGAAGAACATGCTTACATGCTGCCCCAATCACGGTGCAGCTGGCCACGCTGACTGCTCGAAGCGACTGCAGCTTTAAGGTTTGCCGTGCTTGCGCACCAACAGAGGCGCGCACTGGCAGAGGTTGTTCTCACCCGCTGTGTCTCCTGCTGTTATGTGTAAGATGTGCAAAAACGAGTGTAACTGTTATGTGTAAGAAGTGGAAACAGGGAGTGCAATGTAATGCAATGGTTTGCAAAGCTCAGACACGGGGTGAATCTATTATCATGGCACTGGCAGAGGCCTAACTCCAACATGCGGGTATCCGGCTGTAATCCGCTGAACACAGGTTTACTGCCAATTCATGCCTGGTCCCAGCTGCTCATAGACTGCAGCTGAAGTTCGTGCAAGCCAGGGGAGCAGAGCTTCTCGAAGTGCACGACCAGCGACTTGATGCAGAAACGTTGGCTTGAAGTTTAGTTTGTCAGCATTGTCAGCACGAACGGAGAGTTTGCACCTTTCTGCCCAGAGTTCTGGCGCTTCTTTGGCCGCCCGGATCAGGAATAAATGTTTACATGAGTCTCACTGCAACTGTCATCTTGGCCCACGATGACTACTGCAAATTCGAGCTGGTTCGTCTCAATTTGGCTTGACGAAGCTGGCAGGGCGACCCCAAGAATTTGTCCGTAGCTGCACACAGTCCAGTACTGTTCACACATTTGAGCAATGTTGCGTGTATGCGAAGAGGTTTTCAGAGCACGCTGGCTTGCAGCACGGGAAGCTTCTTTTTTTTGACGATTTCAAGACCGAGAAAGGAATGTGCAGAAAGAGATCTTTCTGCGGCCTGCAGTGCAGTCCCTGTGGGGAGGGGGGGTTTAAAGAACAAAAAGGAGGATCAAGCAACAAAAAGCAAGTAGGTATCAAACAACAAATAGGGATCAAACAAATATATTGGATTTTGCAGTAAAACTCAATATTTGTAGCCTCCCGAGCAGGGATCAACAAAAACAGATGAACCCCGAGCCAGAGGAGGAAAGAAAGAACGAAAGAAAGAAAGAGATCCTGTGCGTGGGGGAGGGCAATATTCTCATCACCCAGTGGAGCACAGGGAGGAAGTTCATTTACAGATGGAACATAATAGACAGTACATTGTAGAATTTGGATAGTACACGATGTTCCGTCTAAATGGGCAGTACTCTGCCTCCTGGGATAGAGGACGCCTGGACATTGCGGGGGTTTGGGGCCTTTCCCCAGCCGGGCCTACGGGCTATGCATAACCCATAGAAGAACAACAAAAAAAAGAAAGAAAGAAAGAACGAAAGATCGCGAAAGAACGAACGAAAGACAGAGAGAAAGAGATAAAGAAAGAACGACAGTGATAAAGAAAGAACAACATAAGAAAGAACGACACGAAGGAACGAAGCGAAATAAACGAAACAAAGGAAGAAGGAAAGAACACAACTGTCATAGTTTTTCATCATTCTCATCTTCGTTGATCATGTTCATCCATGTTGTTTCCACGAATTCCCTTTTGCTTATAAATCATTCTCATTGCTTTTATGTTTTTCGTCATTTGTGCTGATTTTTATTCAGTCTTCATCATTTTCACAATTGTCACACTTCTTCATCATTCTGAATGATCATATTCATCTTTTCCTCATCATTAATCACATCGTGTTGCCAGATCAAATGCGGCTGAAGAAAGCACATGTTCTAATCCTTGTCCAGGTTTTACAACTGGGGGCTGCGCCCTCCCCAACCCCCCCGCTGGTATTGTACAAGGCACAGCTGCGCAAGCATTTGTCATCATGTTCCTCACCATGATTTTTCGCGAATTTCCCTTTTGCCTATTCATAGTTTTCATTGTCTTCGAATGTTTCGTTACTTGTCACATGTTTCTCCTTTCCCATCGTTTAGCATTTCTCATTGTTTCTTATGATTTCTAATGATTTTTCATTGGTTTTTGTTTTTGTTTTTTTCATTATTTTCATGGGGTTGCATCATGTTCATCATTCCCAGTGTTTTCATGATCGGTATGTTCTTCCTGAGTTGTCATGATAGCTCATTTTTTGGCCATGTTTTGATCTATCATCGTTTTCATTGTTTCCATTCTCTTTCACAATGTTTCATCAGTTCTCATCATGTGCATGACGTTTTATGGATTTCCATCATTTTTCATCAAATACTATAATTTCTCCACATTGTTCATCATCGTTCAATACTTTTCTGACTTTTCATCTTGTTCCAGTATTTTTCATCATTTCTCCAATTTTTCAATATTTCTCATTGTTATGCCTCACTTTTCATCATTTTCACTGTTTTACTGGTTTTCCATTATTTTTCATCATTTCACGATTTTCCAGCATTTCAGCTATTTTCACGGTTTTTCATGATTTGTCATCACCTTTCTTCATTTTCACGAGTTTTCATGAGTTTTCAGCAACTTTTTGTGCCTTTAGATTCTACTTTAGATCCTGATTTGTTTTTTATCATCAGATTTTGTTCTTTTTATCGCTGTTTTGTTTTTTTTGATCATCCAAATTCCCATGAGTTTTCCTGAGTTTTCAATCGCTTTCTGTTTTTATTCTCGGATTTGGCTCCGTTTCTACTACCGCCGTCATTTTTTGTGGATACCAATTTGTGTTTTCATCACCATTTGTTTTTTTTTGATCCTCCTTCCGTCCCTGCCGAGTCCCCAACACTGGAACTCGTTGCTACTTCGCCGTATATCAGATGAGTTGGATGGCCTAGGCCTAGGCGCCTGAAGAAGACAACCCAGCCGTCCAAATATGCACAAAGCTGAAAGCCTTTTGCTCGTGATGCAGTTTGCAGCGGCTGCGTCCGCGTGTGCTGTCCTGGGCAGGCTTAGTGTCTTGGCTGGCAAGCCCCAGGGTCCAGTGACGAAGCTTCGGTGCTTGTCTTGCACTTCAGGCTTCGGCTTCGCACTGCCCAGCCCGCCACGGGGGGTCGCACGTATTTCGACTGGGGTCCACGGTGAGAAGAGGTTGCAGCTTGGCATTTTAATGCTGATCATCTGGCAAGGTTTGTCGTTGGTGGTAAGTAGCCAAGGTTCTCCTTTTCATCCTCTGCTGCAAGCACTGCGAGCACCGCAGTGCTTGGTCTTGTAGCTCTTGGCGGCGCCGCCTCATTCCGGTCAGCTCCCAAGCGTGACGTTCAATCTGAATGGTTCCGTGTTTTGGAAAGTTTGGGAGGTCTCGCGCTGCCCGTTGTGCGGAGCCATCTCAGCCGTCAACTCCTGGCGTTCCGCCAGTGCCTGGGGTCAAAGATTTGCTTTTTCTCAACGCATGGTTTCATGGCCTCTTAACAAGGCTGGGAACCGAAGTTTGCGAGAAATGCGGTAGCAATCGGGAACGGTGAGTAACTCGTTCAAGTTTGGCCGTCCGTAGTTACATGTCATGGCGTTCAGGAAGGCAAACAGGAGTCTCTCATTAGACCGCAAGTCCTTCAGCCTTTTGAAGACTTAGCCTCTTCAAGGTGTCAAGATCTGAAGCAGCAGCATTTCAAGTTTCAAAGCAGGATTGAACCCATCGATCTCCTGCTGGGCCCTGCAACCTTGGTCCTACGTTAATGAACCTAAAGTCCATGGCTACTGTACCTGTTATGAGCATCATCAAGGCACCCCCTTCCAGGGGTCTCGGCTACGCAGCGGAGCTGGCAAAGTGAGCTGACCGCGTATGTCTCTGGCGCTAGGTCCGAATGCCCATGGTCTCCACGGGCACGGGGGCCATCGATGTGATGTCCAAGCTGCTGCAGGATAGAATCCTGATGCTAAATGGGCAGGCCATGTGGCTCACATCAAAGTTGCGCGCCCTGGGTTTAAAACGGTCCACGGAGGTCAACGATGAGATGGCCAACGTCCTGGTAGCCCAGATCCTTTATTTAGCAAATCAGGATCGATGCAGTCTGCAATGTGAGCGTTTAACAATATAGTTTGCCGAGCTAGTTGCTCCAACAAGTAGCCTTTGCTGGTACCTGCTATCATCAGTGCTCATCCCGAGAGGATGCAGAGAAGGATATCACCATCTACATTAATTCGCCAGGCTGGCCTGGTAAGCTTTGAAGAGGATTTGATGCTTGAATCCTGTCTCTGGCTGCGCTGTTGCAGGTGGATCTGTGTCGGCAGGCATGGCAATCTTTGACGCCATGCAGTTTGTTCCTTGCTCCCTGGTGGAAATACTATGCGAGAGAGTGCACGACAGAATGCACGTGCGTTGCTATACTTGCGTCGGAGCTATGTGAGGCGATGTTTCCACGGTTTGCTATGGCATGGCTGCATCCATGGGGGCCTTCTTGCTTGGAGCAGGTGCGATTGGAAGCTAATGCCGGGTTTGGGTCAGTGGGTTTGGAGATATCGATTTGGGTACTAATTGGCACCAGTATGTGGACGTGAGCATACGCTGCTCATCTTCTCCGTGTGGGCATGTCAAACCTCCGGTTCAGGGACCAAGGGCAAGCGGCGCTCGCTGCCAAACGCTCGCATAATGCGCCCTGGCCGTTTTAAAGTTTGGAAGTTGGTGCTGCTTGCAGCAAGTTCAAGGATTCGTTTGTGGCCCTTATAGGAAATTCAGCATTCGGTTCCGTTCAATCAGCAGTGTATAATGGTGCTAGATTTTCAGACTTCCCAGCCTGATGAAGTTGAGTTTCAACGGTAGGGGAATGGTGTGATGGGCAAGAAGGATGGAAGCAGCGCCAGAGCTGTTGCAGTAAGTCCTCAGGATTCATCAGCCGCTGGGAGGTGCTGGTGGCCAGGCAGCAGACATTGAAATCCAGGCGCATTTCCGCTTTGTGCCTTTGGAAGGTTGCCTTCAGGAAGGTATGCCCCAATTAATTGCTACTTCCGACGAATGGCAGGCAAAGGAAATCCTGTTCCTTCGCGAGATTTTGAACACGCACCTTGGAAGTCAAGCAACCCCGCCATGTGCCAGCAAGCGCCAGCTTGAAAGCTGCTTCAAAGCAACACTGCGATGCGGATCAGAAATCTGGAGGAGGGAGGGGTGTCTGGGAGGAGTGGGGTGGGGAGAGGGGCTCGGGCGGCTGCCCCGCCATGCGGAACCCATACAGGCTCAATGAATGATTGGTGGGGTTTAGACTGCCGCGGGCTTTGGATGGGAGGATGTGGAAGCTCCTGCAGGGCAGGTGAACTTTGATGTTCAATGGACCCCCATCTTAGAGGGAAGTCGACCAGTACCTGGGGTCAAGTGCGGCGGCATGCCATCGGCCTCAGCGGATAAAAGAGCAAGCATGTTATGCTCTCCAGGTTTAGGCAATGAAGACCTTAGTTTTGCAGCTGTTTCAACGTCTCGGCAAGGTATTTGTCAGACTTCACTGGCAAACCGCTGGACACAGTGGCTGAAGACTGTGACCGTGTTTCGGCTGCATGCTCTCGTAGATGATGCCTTTGCATGGCAATGGCCTTGAGCTTGAGGCGATTACTACATGACTCCAGAGGAGGCTTCCCAGTGACCCAGCTACCAAGATGAGATGTCTGCACCAAACTGTAGCTTTCAAAGATTCTCGTGCACTGGGCCAAGGTATGGCATCATTGACGAGGTGTGCCGTTTGACTTCGCCCACTTGAGCGTTTCTGCTGGAAGTCGAGTCTTTTGATTTTCGGAGGTCATCGAGACAAAGAGCTGGCCTAGATTGAAGAAGCCCACCAAGCCGGAGCTGGTCACAGGTTAGCAGCGTGTGCACAAGCGCTTTTGCACCTTTGCCTTCGGGAGTGGAGTCAGACGCTTGGAGTCTGCCTGCGGCTGCAGGTGGGAAGAGCTGAGTCATATGCTTAGAGCAACCGCTGGCTCAGAATGCTCAAAGCAAGACGACGGATAAGAAGCGGTAACGAACATTTTTGTTGTGCCAGATAAGATTCGGAGAAGCAGAAACTGGCAGTGGACCGCTCTTCGCACAAGATGGCATTGCCGCTGGTGTATATGAGTTGGCCCTGTAGGCCACTGTAGGCCTCACCAAAAACCAAGGACTGCGGATCGGAGGTAAGCTTTCTAGAAGTAATTTGCAGAATGTGCTGTATGACACGCGTACTCCACTGGTCCGCTTGCTTATTATTGCTTTGGCAGGTAAGAATCTCAAGGCTCCAGCTCGTTAGCATTGAGTCTTGAGACTGGATGTTCATAGCCAAAAGCGCGACGCAACGTGTCGGATGCAGCAGTTGTACGATATTGTACGAAGGCTTGGCCCGATCAGTTGCTGAGTGGCAGCTGTATAGTTCTGGATAGCCTTGTCATCCAGATCATGGAAAAGGCTCCTGAAAAGTATGGTTGGCATTAATAAAGTAACACAGAGAGCAAGCAATGTTGCGTTTCCAGCCATTCCTTGTGTCACTTCGTGCCAGCAACGGCTGACACTGGCAGGTACTGCGCCATTTCTGTGGAGGTAGCTGCCAGAGGCCTGGAAGTCTATTGTAGTCAGCCTCAATCCTTTTGACTGTGATCCATACCATGGATTCCCCGCCCGTGCCTTTTGGGTCCTTCGTTTATAAGTGCTTGAGCTTGAGGCACATGGCAGTAGGCGTATGCTATGCACTTGCAATCGGAATTGCTTTTTGGGTCAGAGCTCTCCTTCGTCTGTCAAGCATCATGGCAAATGTTTCCGCGCAGCGCCTCGCAGCTGCAGCTGACTTTCTGGTGTGTGCTCTGGTGATGTCAAATAGTATGGGCAGGCTGTGGGAGCAGGATGTATGGTGGCAGCTTCGACTTGGGGACGAGATGCTCTTCCATGGGAAGGGTTTCCCAATGCATGAGGAGTGGACATATACTAGCAGCCACGTGCCATTTCACAACCACTGGTGGCTTTTTTGTATACCTTTCTCCTGCTTGTATCACTTGGGTGGGGTGCCTGCATGGGTGGCCTTGCGCGGTGCATTGTGTGGAGTCTTGGCCAAGCTGCAAATGATGCTATGCTCTGGTCCGGAGCGCTGGCTATTGGCTGCGCTGTCTTTCAGGACCTGTTGCAAGGAATGATGTAGCCAGGCTAGTGTATGTGCGTGTGTGCATGCTAACAATCCAGGAGAGCAGGAATGCGGCGTTGCTTGCACAAAGCGTGCCCTGTCAGGATCTCCAAGCACCGGCTGCAATGTCGTCCTGAGCTGGTATCTCTCGTCCTTTTCGCTGCGCTCCCGCTTCTGCGAAGAAACCTGTTAGAAAAGGACATGCATCGACAGGGACTGAAGAGATGCGTGCCTGGGACCGAGCCCAAAGTTTAAGTAGAATGTGGCTGCTTTGCTCGTCTCCGAAACCCAGCTTGCCAAGGTGCTTTGGCCGAGGGAGGTGCTCTGGATGTATGCATGTGTTGTTGCTGCCGCCAATGTCCACTTCGGTGTGGTTCCCTGGCCGGCTGCTTTGCATGCACAGATGGTTTCCTTTGGTTCGTCTTCTGGTTGGCTTGTACTGGGGTGGGCTGGGTTCAAGGCCAGTGCATGCACTGAACACTCCCTGCACCACGCGATACTACTACTCCGCGTATATGGCAATGCATGTTCAAGCTTGAACATTGCGCCATCTTCAAGGCATACAGTTGCGGCACTCTTGCCGATCGTACATCTACAATTTTGGTTGCTTTGTTTTGGCTGCTTCTTGTTCTCTTTGCTCAATGCCTTGGACAATATCAGTCAGCGCCGAAAAGACCTCGCAAAGGTGTCCGCGTCCCAGGGCATGCGTGTACGTCTGCGAGTCAGCCCTTATTCGCTGACTGCACCACGGCGTTCACTGCCTGCCGCAAGTTCTTCTTCTCCTTCACATTCACCGGTTTTGGAAGATTCGAAGACAGGTCAATCGCGCAGTGCCCTCCTCTGTAAAATTTTGCTGAGGTGAAGTTTTGTGAAGAGAGCAAGAAGATGCCAGTAAGGCACGTTGTGCCGCTGTATGGGCTGGGTTCTTTGAGTCGCTCGAATCTTGCAGCGATTTGTTCTCAAACTTTTTGCGTGTGACGACATCTCACATTTGTCGTCTCTTTCTTGATGAGGCTCCATCCACCTTGCGGCGACATCTATGTCGTTGGCGTGCATGGATGTAATTTTGTGCTTTGGTCGGTGGCAGGCTGGTGCTCCCAACCTTGGACAACTTCTGGATTTCCTAGAAGGTCTTTCAGACGGAGCTCAGCAAGACCGAGGAAAACACAATGTACGTTCTGCTAAGAGCACTCTCTCTGCTGTAAGCTTTGCTGCTTACAAATTTCAACTGCACATGTTGCTGACCTGTCTCGACAGTGTCCTAGTGAAAGCTTGGCGTTATTCAGAGAAGTGGTCCAAGTGCTTCGGAAGAAGTTCTTCTTTTACTTCTCTTCGTAGTAAAGAAGCCTGAATTAGCGGTTTAGATGGACGGCGGAGAAGATCACTGGTTGTTATGCTGCGTCGTGTTAATGATTTGGTGCTGTTTATGCTGCTCTGATTGCCAGCGTGTCACCGTTGATAGCATTAAATTTGCTGAAGGCGTAGTCTGCGGCTGGTCTTGGCGCACCAAATCATCATCGAATGGCATGGCTTGGGGAGGTATTTGCTCTGGAGCCACAACCGACTGGAGTTCAACTTGTCTACAAGGCTTGCGGCAACCGGGAACGGGCCATGACTTTCTTTTGGCTACGTCAAGCGGCAAACATATCACTTAATTATTGTGCGATGTTGGGTCACTTCAGGCGTTGTTTGACATTTTCGGGAGGCTTGACCCGTGAGCAGGCTGGTCTGTTCTCCCTTCACAGTTGCAAACGTCGAGGCCTTTGGCTCTTCAACTGCATGGCTGCTTGGTTTCACAAAGCGGTTAGCCTGGATGATGCTAGCAAAGAGTGGAAGCCTGCGTGCAGACCTAGTATCAACACCGGTGGGCGATTTGAGCCGATGCGTACAAACCCCTCATTTGGACTCCGTGCGGACATGTTGCTTGCCATTCTTCGTGCCAACAGTGATTTCGGCCCCAAGTGTGCCTTTTATGATTCACCTCATCGTGGGTTGCGATGTGCGATTTGTGCAGCGGGGTTCGCCTTCTCGGTCTGTGGACCTGTTCTTGACAAGGTGGGTCATTTGTGATTCTTGTTGAGTCTGCGGACTTCTGTGTGTGTCTGTCCTGGGCCATGGGACTTGGGCCAGGTTGCTCATTGAATGTTGGGCGTATGTGTTTATCTGCGATTGTGCGTATTGCTTAGTGCTTTTGACAGCATTGACTCCCACTGTGTGAGCTTCGTTGTCTGGTACTTGCTTTGCTTGCTTGCTTGCTTGCAATGGCGGCCAGCTGGGAAAAGGATATGCTGGAGTCGGGTGTTCCTGCAGCTGTGGCAAAGCTGGTATGCGAAACCCACGCCTCAGGGCAGCTTTTCCTCCACGTCTTTCGATCAGACGAAAGGCTTGAGTCATATGTGAAATCGGTCCTGGTGGTTGCCAGCTGATTGAGTCAAATAATGAACAACCGCTGCCTTGCGGAGTCTTCGGGCTGGGCCACAGCTTCGACAAGGTTTCCTGCTGCGGACGCAGCCTCTTGTGCCTAGGTTCCCCCCTTACCAGCTTCCTCGCGCATGAGCGCGAGGGACCGCGCAGCCTTCGTGGTCAAGTATGAGAATTACTTCCCTGGTGTGGGCGTGTGTCCGATGGTTCTTCCGGGTCTCGAGTATTTGCAGCCTATCAGCAAGTCTTGGGAGTGGACGCCGTGGCATCTAACAGTGTGCGCTTGCGTGACAAGAAAAAGTCGGCTGGTCCTGCTGACGCGTAGGATTTTATCGGGCAAAATGCTGGTTGGGGGAACGACGAGCTTGGCGATGTCAGTCCCCCCCTTTCAGGGTCCAGAAGCTCCTCGCTGTTCGAGGGCATGCTTCCACGATGTGCGGCTGTGGGCACCCAAGCAGTGGTGTGAATACAACTCCTCATTAATTCAAAGACATGCTTCAGTGAAGGAAGCTGAAGAAGCTGATCGCTTAGCCTTGAGCGAGTTCTTCCAGCTGTTGTGCAAGAGAGCTTCTTCAGACGACGCCTTATCGTTAAAGAGAGATACTGCTTGCGCTGTTTGCTGCTTTGCCCTCCGAAGGCTGCCAAGGATGCTCGCGGAGGCGGAAAAGGAAGTGGAAAAGGCAAAGACCGTGATCACCTTCCTCGCAGATTTGCCACTAAGCGTGTGTCGCCAAGTGCGGATGCTGTCGCTGAAAAGCGCACCAAGCACTCACTATGCGATGCCTTTCAATCCGGCAAATGCAAACGGGGCCCAGGTTGCAAGTTCATTCATAGGTGCGAACTGAGCTTTGGGACTGACCATGGCTCATCCGCTTGCAAAAAGAAGGTTTGACTAGGCTGCGTGTCGGACACGGGACATGCAGCATGGGCGCTTGGACAACTGAATTCAGGGAACTCTCTCTTGGTTGTTGATTACTTGAATGATGGTTCAGGTTGTAATTCCGCTGGCCTGGGTTCGAGCGTTCGTATTTCTGATGCACGTGTTGACCCGCGTGTGGGTCATGAAGACGCGGATTCTAAAGAACTTCGATCTCCTTATGGTGTGACACTGAAGTCCAACTGGGATTCTTCTAGATGGCAGCCTTTCTATTCTGGATTCTGGATGGTGTTGGAATGTGTTCTACTGCTGATTGGTTGGTGCCGCGTGCAAGCGAGGGTATTTGGGACCCTGTAGACAACGGCGAGCTTGATGACACTGACCGTTCAGTGCACTTGACACCTTGGGGTAATTCTCACACTGATGAGTGGCTGACTTGGTCGGTCCTCGACAAAGATGTTGCTGCAGGTCATTTGTTTGAAATTCCAGGTGACGTGCCTGCCGCGAAAGCTAGCTGGGGCAGTCTAGTGGCCAGTGGGAAGGTTGGCGTTGCTTTAGTGCCTGAAAAGAAACCCAGGCTGATTGGTGATGGCGCTATCAGTAGCGCCAGGCCATGTTCAAAGATTCAGGAGAAGGTCCTTCTTCTTGGTCTCGGCAGCGCGCAGCAGTTCTTATCGCCGGCAGATGTCAGCCAAGCTTTTCGGGCCTTGAGCTTCGATGTCAGGGGTGCTCACAAGGTGGTTGTGGTGAAAGATGCAGAACAGGGCCTTTTTGGCTTCACCTTCCGTGACAAGCTTTTCTGTTGCAGAACATGTTATTTTGGTTGCAAGAGGGCCGCGAGTGGGAGCGTATTTAGTACGCCGTCTTGATCGTGGATTTACCTTGGTCACGGGCATGATGGTTTCATTCTCCTCCCCTGCGCAGGTTTTCCCTTTGCTCGCAGCCTGCATTCTGATGTTTTTCGTGGCACTGGGCGTGCTTCTCTCCTGGGAAAAAGTCAAACTGGGTGATGATCTTGTGTGAATCGGTTGGAGATTTTGCTGTAATTTTCGGACAGCAGTTCTTCCCTCCTCCAAAGTTGATAAGATTAGTTGGAAACTCTTCAAAGTCGGTGGTCAGGAGTTGACGTTTTTGGACGCTCCTGCCCTTACTTCTCCTTTTATGTGGGCCAGCGTAGTACATTTGGTCTTTTCTTGCTCGGATAACACTATAGTCTTCTGCTTTCGCTGCGCAACTATTCTTGATTTCTGTGACAGTGCAGCGACCGATTCCATTATGCGTGTTAGAGGCTGGTGGTCCGCCCAGCGCAGCTGATGCTTTCGCCAACACAGCGCTTGCCGGCACTGGTGGCTACTGGCTCCTAGATTGTTCACTCGGAACACGCGAATGCGCCTTTTGGTTTGGCTTGCAACTGTGAAAGAGAGACCATCCGTGGCGGTCTAAGTCATCGGATTCTTCTTCCTTGCCATCCTGTATCGCGGCGTAGGAAGTCTTGGCGCATTTGATCCTGCTGGTCTTGTTTTGTGCGAAGTCTACCAACCTGTTACCCTGCTTCTCATACAGAACCAATCTTTGGCATAGGAGCAGTTTGTCCCAGAAGAACCCCTATGCTTCGTTTTTCAGGGGCCATGGGCTTCCATAGCTCCCGTCTGGGTGTATTTTTACATGGCTCTCACATTGCAGGGTGTTGTACTATTTTGGCTGATGACCTCAGCAGCAATCGTTTGAACCCAATTCATCCGAACAAACGAGTGTGTTTGGATATATTGAAACTACTGTGTGTGCCTTGGGCGCGTTCCTGAGGACCCAAGAGTCTTCCATGGATGGTTATTTGTCAGGTGTCTGGTCATTGGGTGCGTGTTTGCAATCAGTTGATGGCTGCTGTTTCCATATTGCTAATTCAGTCGATGCTCGCGATTTGTCTGGAATGATTGCTTTTGGCAGGCTTGCCTCCAATGGGCTCCCTCTCCGGTTTGGGATTTTTTTGTTGTTCTCCCGCCTCCACAATGCACAGCCCGCACTTTTCAATGGGGGATTTGCTGCAGTGGGTGGTGCTTGGTTGCACCGCCCTGCTAGCTTGTGCGCCGTCTGCGCATCTTTCAAAACCGTTTATGCAGTCTGTGTGCGTTCAGGCTACTGTTGGTTGGCTTGATACAAGTACTTTGCGTATGTGTCTATACATGTTCAGGCTTGGAGGTTGAGCCATCCTCAACGTATACAGTTGCAGCATCCTTGCCGATTGTGCATCTACCGCCCGCCCTGGAATTGGCGCGGCGTGGCCCTAGTGCAAACCGCGCCAATTTTGCTCACACCAAGGTGTGCTTAGTTTGCCATCCGCCCCAAATGTGCGGTTGATCTTTGCTTGTCCCGCAGGGGATTTGCTGCAGTGGGTGGTGCTTGGTTGCACCCCCCTGCCAGCTTGTGTGCTGTTTGCGCATCTGTCAAAACCCCTGATCGTCATCCTTAAGTAGAAAGAATAAGAGCTTTGGGGGGGGTTATTTTTTCCAAAACCGGGATTTTGTAGAACCATGAATAGAGTATGCCAGGGACAATTAAGCAACCGTAGTAATCTGCTCCAGGACGACGCGGAAAACATTCTAAAACCCATTCAAGAACCCTCTACTTTTGTCAGCCCGTATCAAACGGTGTGAAGCCTTCAGAATCCCTTTAAACCCCCTTTGAGAAAGTCTCTTGAGCGGTGGAAGGCTCACCATCAAACCCATGAACCTCTTGCAAGCCTTCAAACGCTTGCAAAACATTGGAGAAATTACCGGGGTTGGTTTGTAAGCTCCTTTCTGGGCTCCACGCAATTCTGCCTTAGATATTCTATCTATATACCCGTTTAGTACCTCTATAAGCCCCCCATGAATCGCTATATACAACTGCCAAATACTCTATCTATCCATATACTCCTCCTATGAAACCTCTCTGAAGCGTCTAAAGACCCTCCAGAAAACCATTTAAAATTCAATATACCTTCAAAGAAACTTATGAATCAGTTGTAGCACTTCTACACATTTCTAGAAAACATCTTGAACCCTCTACAAACCTGTTTAAAAAGTGCGAGAGCCTTACAGAAATCTTGTCCCAACCCCTTTATAAACCCTCGATAAGCCTGCCCCCAAATACAGACAGCCAGGAATAGGTCTGAGGGATCCATTTCGGGTCAATAGAATTCCCCCAAATATTCTATCCCTCCTTTTGTGAAAACATTTTTTTTGAGAAACAGCAGATTCTATCTACTTTAGGTGACAATATGTAGTCTGTGTGCGTTCAGGCTAGTGTTTGTCTCGTGCCTGCAAAAGTTTGTGCAGTTTGGCACTTTCCGGATATGCCAAAACTCAAACCTTTTGAACATCCACGAACTGCGTGCAAATTGGGATCGGTCTTGCAGAGTGCATGTGTCGTGCAAAAAGCTCATTTCAAGTTTGCTCGTTTAATTGCCCCCAGACTCCCCCGGCCCAAGGTCCTGTGCTGCGGGACGCTGCTGGCTGATGAATTGTTTGACGACAGCGCACCAGCGTCCACGCGCTGCTCTTGGCTGCCTGGCCTGAACCTGACTCCGATCGCTCGCGCTGTGCCAGTCCTGCTGCTGCCGTGCCAAGGGTGGTAGTTTTTATGATGCTAATGATGCTATGATGCTATGATGATTCTGATGGGATTTAGCCCTTAGCTTTTTGTTTGTCCACTCGCACAAGAGTTTTCTAAAAGGTGCCTGAACCCTCAGCCCACAGCCGGATTGCAGTACATCCTCCACCATCGACCTGGAACATATTCGAAAAAACATTTAACAAATCCGGAGCATCGGAGCTTCCGAGACGAGCTTCAGGATTTCTACACAACTGAACTGGTTGGAGGGAAGGATTTTTCTTGGAACAAGCTTTTTGCAGTGCCGTTCGCTTCATCGAGCTTGAGGCATGTTCCGTGGATTTGCGTTTACTTTGGATTTGCCATCCTGGTATCAGTGTTGTGGCTGTTGCGAAGCAGGCAGGCCCGTCCTGTGGGTTTAAGATCTCCGATCTTCACTTTGGCAGCGCTTGCCATCATGACATACCTGGTGTATGACCGCACGCGCACGGTTGTTTGGCCTGCATGCTTCTTGACAGCAATGCTCGGCTGCAGCGGCAGCTCTGTCAGAGCTGAGCCTCCAGGCGCATCTCGAGCAGCTTTGCTGCGTATGGGTGCGGCTGTTGCTTGTTTTGCATCCGCGATGCTGCTGATCTTGGGAGACTTCGAAGCTCCGTCCTTTGAGCTGATGACGCTGAACTGGCCTGTGAGATCAGCAGAGTTTGTGCGGAACCACGGCCTCCCGGGGAATGTGTATCACACGATCACGTTCGGTGGATATCTTGTTTACTGGCTTCCAAACAAACATTTTGCAGACACACGTGAGTACTGTTTTAAGCACTTGGACGAGTTGTACAGTAGTGTGTATCTGGACCATGAACGGCTGAATCGTGACATCTTGCAAAAGTATCGCGTGAACATCTATGTCGCACTCATTCCGCAAACCCGGCGCTTACCCATGGGAGGCTTTGAAGATGTTGCCGCCAGGTTTCTGCGCAAACCGTTATGGGCAAGAGTTTTCTTCGACCATGTGAGCGAGGTATTTCTGCGCCGCGCTGTTCCTGAATTTCAAGATCTGATTGAGAAGCAAGAAGTTTCTCTGAATCCAGCCTTCCCTCCTGATTACCATGTCCGAGTGCTCCTTGGAAGGGATGCAGGAGATCCCCAAACTTTGGCCAAAGACTTGGGCGTGTGCCTGGCCCGTGGTGAGCTGTACTGCGAGCTGATCGAAGCATTACGTGTCTCCGCAACAGAACCCAAAGCTGTGTCTTCGTGGTTGAGGCAGCTGCAAGCCAAGGATCCGGCCGATATCAAAAACGAAAGGCGGCTGACCCGCGAGTACTTAGAGTCTGTGAAGATTCACCTTGCCAAACAGTTGAACGCCACGGGCATGAGGTAGTAAGTTGCCATTCGGCCTGCGACGTGTGGCATATTTGCGAAGCCTCACCTGCTGGCGAGTGTACGAGAGACAGTAGCAGGACCTGGAGCAAATCGCAGCAAAAAGCAAGCCAGGGTTGAAGAAAGGAGATCTAGTGAAAGAAGAGCACATAAGAGCAGCCATCAAACGCCAGGCCTTGGAGGTTTGCTTTTGAGGTCGCGAGCTCGGAGACTCGGAATCCACAGATTTGATGAAGCTCGCCTTGGAGCCTTGCGGCAATTCGCAGGCCATTCCTGGCTCCGGTGCAGCGGCGGCTGTGCAAGGTCTCTCGTTGCCTCAGCCTGCGGCTGGTTAGGCGACATTGGCAGGAAAGGGCCCCAGCTGCATTTGAGAGCTTGAGCCTTGAGCTCCGTGTCACTCGTGTCAGAAGTACGAGGTGGCCGTCAAGCGCTGGGCACTACTCACACCGTGGGAAGCGGAGCCGCTTGCAAGGCGCCTTCCGTACTGCCCACTTCCACACCATGCTCAGTTGCCTATGCTGCGTCGCCGCGTCGCAGTCCAAATCTCAAAGGCCGGAGGATGCCCAGCCATGGATGAGTATGGCAGGCAGGCCCCAGAGTTCCAAGGGATGTGTACACAGACGAGGTAATGTAAAACAGAGTGAGTTTCAAATCCTTGAACGCTGGTGTCGCCGAGGCCGTCAGTCCAGCCGCGACACATCCTCGGGCATTCGAGCGGAAGATGCAAGACTGGCGTCAGCTTTGCCTTCTTCTTGTGCTGCTTTCTAGATGCCCTTTCAAATCTTTCAACGCATCGTAGGAGTGGATGCCAATGTCACCTCGACAGGCAGGGTGTGGTTGACGCCTTTCCGGCCTTTGCTTCCATTGCTGAATGACGGTAAGATGCTGAGACCGCGGTTTCTGGTGTAGGTGCTGGTGTGGGGGGGCTGTAGTGCCCTCGGCAAGCCGGTGCAGACACAGCGACTGCGAAGTAAGGAAGACAGCTGTCAAAGGACCATCAACACGGAAGATGCCGAGACTCCTGCAGCCAGTGCAGCAGACCCAGAGGTGGCGCTTCGAAGTTGCTTGGCAGAGCGCCTGCACGTTCTTTCTCTCCTGGGCTTGGAGGTGTTTGTGCAGCCATCGCTGGCAAAGGGGATGCCATTCCACAATGGCTTCCTCTACAAATTAGGCTGGTTCACCCTGCATGTGTCGAACTTGAGGATGAAGGATGTAGCAAAATCGTGGGTGAGTGTTATCAAGCACAGTGCTGCATCAGGTGACGGGCTTCTCAACACTGGGTGGAACCTGCGCTACTTCCTGCTTATTGGCTTTAGCCCTTAAAGTCTCATGATGTAAGCTGGCGGTAAGCTAGTGCAAGGAGACATCTGCCGCAGGTCAAACACTCCAATATTACCGCAGCCAGCACGAAGCGAAGCCCCGGGATGCCATCTCTCTGAGCTCTTCTGGCTGCAATGTGCAGGTCCTGTTCCGCACTTTGTGGAGCCTATTCAGAGCCGGAATTTGCCATCTCAGGTGGCGTATCAGTGGAGTGGATCCATGACGCTAGCCGCCCGTTCACCTTTGTCGTCAGCAAGAGTTCCCTTGCCTGCATCGTTGGAAAGTGGTATTGTATTGACCATTTCTACGGAATGCAAAGAGCCAGGGTCCGAGTGCCCTGGTCTTGAAGCGTGTTTGAGGCGGCCAGCGCTCATTCTGCTTGTCGGGGTGCACTGAGCGAGAGGCCTGCGAGTGGGTGGAGCGCATCCAGGCCAGAAATTGCAGGGGACGTCACTGGTCACAAAAAATGGAGCCTCTTCACAAGCACAACTGACTCTACCAACGCAAATCTGACCATGTCGGCATTGAAATCATCGGGATGTTCTGCAACAGTGCTTTGCAGCAGCACTAGGCATGTGCTGGCAGCCTCAAAAATGCTGATTATGATGAAGAAGTGGTAAGTGTCGTTCGAGGCTGCCAGCGCCGCAGTTGAGAGACCGCTGGCCACGCCTGGGACCAGGCCCGACCCCAACATGCACGGTCGTGAAGTTACCATGAAGTGCTGTTGACACACGGTCTCCATCACCCGGGAATCCTGGGACTACTTCAGCTCGGCAGGCCTTTGGGTCCTCTGCCACAGCCTGGTGTGGGAAGCTTAGTGGACTTGCATTGCTGAGCTCTCCCAGACTTTCGGAATGATGCAGCACAAGCAAGAGCCCAGCTTTGCTTTCACTTTTTGAGATGTTAGATAAGTGGGTTCGTTCGGGAAGGACCCCCCTGAGCCAGAATCTGGTGCGACCACGTGGCAGGACCCAGTCAGGGCTGGTCAGAACCGTAGCCTGCTAAGCCTAGTCCTGCAGGAAGCAGCCATGGCCCGATGCGCGCAGGACCCAAACACGGAGTTGATATTCCTTTGTGAAGAGAGTTCAGGCCAGGCATGGCCAGGCAAACCTCCCCATTCAGGATGCGGAGGTACAGATATTAGATATCAAGCGAACACTCTGCAGTGGGTTGCCGTGGCAAGAAATTGGACGGACACGAGTGCTGTCCTGCTGCCGTCGTTTTGCTTGCTTCAGGAGCTGTCAGAAGCGCTGCATGGAGGAGACTTCCAATTGCCAGCTACTTAGCAAGGCTCGGACTTCCTCGGGCCGGTGAAGCCAACAGATGTGTCGACAAATATTGTGATAGCTTTATTTGATGCTTGAGCTTGTATAAGCTCAGCACCTTCGACGGCGAGGGCTCAAAGCAGAGCTGACGGGGAGCGTGGACTCCGACCAAGGCGCGAGATGCGCCACAGTATCCGCATCATGCAGCGACGCCTAGGCCTAAGCCAAAAGCTAGGCTTTTCATTGTGGACCTCAAGGGAACAAGATGAAGACAGTTCTGCAGACGCGAAGCCTGCATGCATATTTGCTCGACCGTTTTCAAAGACAAGTGATCCTGCACAACTGAGGTTCTTCTTTACATGGAAGTGCCAACAACCCAGCGCAGGTATATGCCGCAATAGTTGCCACGCTTGCAAACAAAGCACCTGCACCGGCAGCTTCTTGCACAGCGAGGCAAAGTTCGCCTTCGACTCGTGGGGTCTCCAGAGGACGGATGATGATGAACAGTACATTAGCTGGTGGTCTTAGCCCCCGAATGTCCGCAGTCATGAATCGGCCGCTGCCATGCTATGACTGTATCATGCCTAGCAAGTATGATGTTGTGGTGACATCGTGTTTGGGTGATGGGTACTTGTTACACTACATACTACATCGAACGGTGTTAGGTTTCTGTGGTTTCCGCAGCAATTGAGGTTTCATGTTGTTGTGTCCTTGGAGGCCCGTGTGCTTTTTTTTGGCCGTGGTGGTCTTGCTACATGCTGCCGGCATGAGGCGCCATCATTGAACCCCTTGCGGTCGTCAGTCTCTGCAGGGCAAAAACAGTCCAAAGCATCAGGTACTCCCTGGAGTCATGGGCAGGGCGCCTACGGGCTCTTCTCCAAGTTTGAGTCTTGCAAGGTTGTTGGCAAAACGGCCCCAGGCCAGGCTCGTGCTTGTGCCCTTTGGGCTACTCGTCTGTGCATTTCTGCGGGCAGGAGGCGGCTTGCTAGCTTACGCCAGTGTGCAGCAGACATGCCACATGTTGGCAGGGCCAGGGCCTCCTGTGATGTTTGCAGCAGTCCGTGTGCCTGGCACCGGAGAGGAGGTACGTGAGGCTCGCAGATTCGGCGAGTGTGTGCTGGGCTTTGGAGGGATATGTATGTATACATATATATGTACATATCTATGTATGTATAGAGATGATTTGGATCAGGTACTCGACGGATTTTGTAGGTTTCCTTAGCCAAAGGGATCTGCAAATATGCCTCTGCGCATTCCTGTACCAGAACTGTCGCTTGGGGCTTGAAGACAAGCAACCAGCGAAAGACAAAGTGAAGAAGCTAGCTTTGTCAGCGCGTTACCTACGCAGCAAGATCTGGTCAATCTGTGATCGGCTGCCGAGCCTCCCAACCCTTGGCCTTTGCCATGGAGCCGGCCGAGCTCGAGCAAACGCAAGATCCGACCCAGGTGGAGGAGATGGAGGAGAAGCAGTCGCTTGGGCCACACTCTGCGGCACAGGGTTTGGGTTCAGGGCTGAGGGTAGAAAACGAGGGTATGACTGGGATTTCTGTGTCAGGTACGCCGCACGCGTGCTCGCATTATGTCCGTATGTCCATATTGTGGATTTGTTTTTATTTGCCTAGCTGCATCTGATTAGTAGACATAGTAGATGAGCAGAGTAACAGTCGCTTCAAAAATCAATGATCGCAGAATCACAGTAGAAGGAATGCTCGAAGCAATGCCAATCAAATTCAAGATAATCATATGGCGGCAAAAATCACAATAATGATCACCATAGGACAACATTTTTTAAAGTAGCACAGCAACAATTTAAAGGCCATGAGGTGGCATGCCAGTAATGCTCGCAACTGCTAGCACATGCGATGCCAAACCACAAGTTAGCAAACAATTAAGCAAATAACTCCTTGAAACATGGCGCCCCAAGAAATACTATACGGCAACAAGACGTCTTATGCTATGGCGATACGGTCAAAGTAAGCCGCGTGAGTTTCACGCGACGTGACATACCCTACCCTGAACGGAACATTCTTGCATTCAGCGCACTTGTAGTAGGAGAAGGCCCAAATCAGAAAGCTACTTAGAGTTTCCGCGGAAATTGTCTAAAGAGCGGTACTGATTCGCTAGATCCCTGCACAGGGCTGCCAGTTGTCCGTTGCAATGGCTTGTTGTGACAGGTGCCGCTACTGTCTTGGCGGCGAGGCTGAGGATACGGTCTTTGTGGCCCCATGCCGTTGCCGTGGCTTCTTGGCAGCCTTGCTTGAATCGTCATAACTTATGACCGCCTTGGTTTCTGCAGCGATCGTGGCACTAGCTGGAGGCGGACAACGCTGGGTGCACTTAGAATGCCTCCGACGCTGGCAACGGTCAATTCTGGTCACGCAGCCGACGCACCCGGCTTTCTACCACGAGGACTCTGATGATGATGATGATGACGATGATGGTGGTGGTGGTGGTGGTGATGATGCTGATGTGAGGCTGGTGGTTGATGATGATGATGATGACGACGATGATGATGATGATGATGATGATGGGTTTTCCTAGGGCCAGGTACCAGTGTAGGGGTAATGTCCAGGAGTCTCTCGGTGCTGCTTGCAAGTGAAGCTGGTGCAACTGCGCGGTATTTGAGTGGAGTTAGCAGGATCGTCGAATGTCACACTGTGGGGTCTGCACACAGCGCTTTTCTTGCCCGCTCCCTTCGCGTCACGAGATGATGCTGGACTTCACAGGGGCAGAACTCGCAGCTTTGGTCCAGGACCCATGGCACACTTCCTCTTTTTGCATTCAACGCGCAGATCCTGCAGTGTGAGTGGATGAGTGATCAGGAGCAATGCCTCATTTGCTCATCTGAGTCATGGTCTTCTGCCCTGCGCGCACGTCTTCAGGCAGGTTTGGATCGCCGCAGCATCGCAAACCTGGTGCACTGGTGTCGGGGCGTGTACTTGATTTATTATTGTGGAGCTAAGCAACTGGTTCTTAGCATTCCAGATGAGGCAAATCGAGAGGCAGTTCTGCAGAACTTAGATGGTTCTGGCCATATTGAGGTGCAAGGTCATCAATATGAGGTGCTGAGCGAGGGCCCGCTGTCTCACCTCCCACAGTTGACAAGCAGATCTGAAGAGAGGAGTGCGGAAGAGGATTCAGGACAAGCGGCCTCTTTGCAAAGAGGAGCCGCATGGGTGCTGGCAGCTGTGAGCAGGGGCCAATTAGAAGAGTCGAGCAGGCCTCGCGCCTCACGCCTGTACTCCGCTTTGGCAGACATCCAGCTTCCCGTCGATGTCACGCTTCAGCGTGTTGGAAATGATGCTCTGGATGCAAGTGACGATAGCATCCGCGCAGTGAACTTGAGCAACCGAATCTCATCAGAAGATCTCCCGACAGCTGTGCAGGCTGGAATGCGGGCTGCGTTGCGAGCTGCAAGGCTGTCTGGCGGCTTGCCTCGTTTCGTGATGGAGCATTACTTGGGCGGTCCGTGTGCTGCTTCACAATGTCATGTTTTCCTTCCAGTAGGCCCTCCTGATGGTGTGATGCCTCCATTGCCGCCTGGTTTTAAATCATTAGGTGATCTCAACATAGCAGTTGGGACCGATCTTGTAGCAGCTTTGCGCGCTTTGGGCAGCGTACGGGACTTGTCAAGTATGGACTCGCAGGAGGATGGGCGTCCGAGAAAAGCACGACGGCTTGACGAACCGTTGGAGTCGTGCAACGATGTAGAACCCACCTCTGTCAGTGAAGCATGTGGCAGCAGCTGCGTCAGGGATTCAGACGAAGAAGACCCGACGGCCCACGAGCCAGAGCAGTCTGACGACGGCTCTGACTTCTGGGGGGGGCACCCTGGCGAACTTGCTGCTACGCCTCCACCTGATGACTCGTCAGAAGATGATTCCGATGCTGTGCCAGCTTTTGATTCTGCGGACATGGTTGTGGGTATGGCAGCTGAGTACATTTTGAGGGGAGCAAGGGAACATGCGGAGGAGAACTGGCAAGAGTCCATGAGACCAGTGTCAGAGCAGCCTGAGCATGGGTCGCTTCCCACATGGAGACCACTGAAAGTGTTTTGGGGGGAGGCACGCTGGCAACGTACACAGTTACTCGGGGAACTGGCGAGGGGCGATTGGGGGCTATGTCATGCAAAGCCGGGCGACCTCAGAGAGCCGGCTCAAGCCCTGTGGCCCCAACTCATCCGAGACCAAAGGCCTATTGTGGCCCCTCAAAGCGAGATGACGCGTGCCGAGACCGCTGATGCCGTGGAGCGCGAGCGGCTCCTAGAACTTCACTTGCAGGCGCGGCGCCGGGCGGCCCAACCTGCGCAGCTCGAGCAGCCTGGGCCCGGACCAGAGTAACCGCGGTAATGCGCAAAAAAGAACAGCCTGATGACTTTTCGAATTTAGCTTGCATCCGCGTATTTGTGTTTGGGTTTGCGCAGGGTTTGGCTGATACCTGGCGCCTCCAAGAATGGTTGCCGG